GGTGTTTGAGGCTCAGAAAAAGAGTGGAATGATGAATGACATCGCTCTGGATGACATCACACTGACCATGGGACTATGTGGCCCCGCCCCCCCTGAACCTACAAACGTTCCACCGCCGACAACCAGACCTCCAATTCCAAGTAAGACCCCGCCCCCTCCCTGCAGGTGACAGAATCCAGGGGCCTGTTCTACGAAGCAGGATTACAGTTAGCTTACTGCTCCGGGGCAGGTTAGGTTCCAGATTGACCTCACCGAGTATAAAAACCCCGCCCACTGACCAATGAGCTCTCTCGAAAAATGGCTTGTCCGTTCTTGGAGGATCCTGTAGACCTCGGTGCTCGCCTTGTCCGAGGAGCGCGAGAGTTTCAGGATCCGCACAGACCCACTTCCTTTTCACCCCTTGATCAGGTTAAATAGGCCACACCCCTTGATCAGGTTAAATAGGCCACACCTCTTTATCAGGTAATAGGCCACACCTCCTAATCGGGTTCGAGGCCACACCTCTTTATCAGGTTGAATAGGCCACACCTCTTTATCAGGTTAAAAAGGCCACACCTCTTTATCAGGTTGAATAGGCCACACCTCTTTATCAGGTTGAACAGGCCACACCCCTTTCTCAGGTAAGACAGGTAACTCTTCTTCAGCTGAGAAATTCGGTTCACACAGATTTACTTCAAAGTTTCAAGACCTGAAACCTCGATCTGTTACCTGGGCTGTCTCACCTGTGAGTCTGACTCCACCCTCTTTCTGCTTTAATTGGTCAGCTGACTGTGGAGGACCCTTTGACCTTTGGGAACCGAACTCCTCCTTCAGCTCGCCAAATTACCCACAACCCTACGGGGACAAGGCTCAGTGTGAGTACAGCTGTCTGCCCATCTTTAACAGGTAACTCTACCTGTCCAGGTGTGCTGTGGTCGGTCTGAACAGAACACTATGATGAATTCAGAGATCTGTTGCCATGACGACAGATTTGATGAACTGTTCAATGGCGCTCTGTAAGTGAATCCTGTGTGGTCACCTGTCTTCAGGTGTTGTGTTGAACTTTTGTTTGTCAAAGTTGTTCTTCTCGCCGTCGGCCATGTTTGAACCTCACCTGTTACCTTTGTGACATGATGTCACTGTCATTACCCATGATGCTCTGCAGGTCTGTGGACTCTCCACACCAGCAAAGGTCGAAACATTCAGCTCCATTTCCTGGATTTTAACATTGAAGCGACCTATGACGTGGTAGAGGTGCGGGATGGGGCGGGGCCAAACTCCACCTTGCTGGGTAAGAAGACGCTCTGACCAGAATCCTTTAAACCGCGGCGTGTTCGGTCATGTGACTTAACACAGATGAAATGTTTTTATCTCAGCTGTGTTAACAGGCAAAGAAGGCCCCGCCCATGATTTGTTTTCAACAACCAATCAGATGAGTGTGTGGCTCTTCACGGACAGCACAGGTCAAGATCGAGGATTTAGCGCAAACTTCACCTCAGGGGTCAACCTGGGGTCACCAGGTGAGTCCGGGATCATGGTGTGACATCTATCAATGATCTATTACTGATCAATAAAACTTGTTCCTGTGATCAGCTCCCTGTGCAGCGGGTCAGTTCCAGTGTCTGCTGGGAACATGTATCCATGGTAACAGCCAGTGTGACGGTGTGGTCGACTGTCCGGATGGTTCAGATGAGGCTGACTGTGGTGAGTGACATGTGATCAATTAACCAACTAATTATACTGCAATGACTAATGACATCACACAGGTGACCTGTGATGTCACACAGGTGACCTGTGACATCACACAGGTGACCTGTGACGTCACACAGGTGACCTGTGACGTCACACAGGTGACCTGTGACGTCACACAGGTGACCTGTGACGTCACACAGGTGTGTTTTTGTTCCAGTTGTCTTACAGACCAACAGTTCCAGTCCTCTCCAGTTCAGAGTCAGTTCCTCTCTGCTCACTGTTTGTGCCGACACCTGGAACCCTCACCTGTCTGAGTTCACCTGTCAGTACCTGGGCTACAGGTAACACACCTGTCTGTGCTCACCTGTGCTACAGGTTATACCAGTCGGTACCTAAAGGTGGTGTAGACAGGAGTCTGTTAAAGAAGCATCTTTTGTTTATTATCAATAAATCTTCTAATATCAGTCAATAGTTATTAGTTATTGATTATTTGGTAATATATCGATATCTCTGTGTTCTCTTATGTCTGTGTCGTCAACATTTGAACATTTTTGAGCGGTCCGCTCTTTCTGACTGTAAACAAAGCCGTTCTCCACCTCCTCTAACCTGATTGGTTGTGAGGCAGACGCTGCTCCCCCGTGTCGTTCAGGAGCCCAAACAAAGTTAGCGTGCTACAATATCGGACAGTAGAAACCAACCAGAAAGTTCGGAAAATTGTCTGAATCCTCCTTTGGCCACGACTGCCGACACAAGCAAGAAAACAAAGTAAATACCGGAGACTCTGGAGGAATAACGGGCGCTTAAAACGGAGGTAGACCGGACAAGAGCTAAAAAGCCGGGTCAACATAAACGATGGGGGACGCTTGGGGATCTTGGTGACCCTGTAACCTTTCTGCTGGACAGGTAAACCGCTTTAACAAAGTAAGACAAGTGTCTGTAACAGAAGTGTTTCTTGTCAAACGGACCTGCTGTAGCGTGTTGTAGCGCCATCGCTAAACTGTCCTCCCTCGGGTCCTGGACTATGTCACTTTATCCTCGTTGTAGAAGTCCTGCAAACATTGTGTTTGCTGGTAGTCTGTTGGCATCTACAGTAGCACCAATGCTTTTGACTTTCACCTTGACTGGGCCCCATTTGTAATGATCTGAAGTCTTTATCTGCATTATATCTGAATTTAACTGGAACGATACGAGCGAGCAGGAGCGTCTGTTTGTGGGCGGGGCTTGAGGGGAGAGGAGGAGCTGAGGGGAAAACTGGTTGGAGGGGTAGAGTTTACATTCAAGATTTCTCCTAAAAACTGGAACTAACTCAGATCCTGACGACAACACCTTTAAGTAAACACGCCGTTTCTCTCCTGTGGTTACCATAGTAACACTGTAACTCAGCGGCGTTGTTCTGTCCTCTGCAGGTCCGGTGAGGCCTCGGTTCTGCCGGCTCGGCCTGAAGATTCACCTTTTACCAACATCACAGTCACTAACGGAACCATAGAAACCAGCATAAGGTACTGAACCGGAACCAGATCCAGAACCAGAACTGGACCCAAACACACATAAACCAGACCCAGAAATCACATCTGGAACCAGAACTAATGACAAACTGTTCCTGGAACTAAATCTGCTCTTTTTGTTTTACAGTGAAATCTGCAACAGCGACAAAGTCGTGACTTTAACCTGCGACAACCAGCGTGAGAACGCACACTCAAACACACACACAGTTCAAACTACACTCAAACACACACACAGTTAAATCTACACTCAAAAACACTGACTGTGTGTGTTTGTGTTCCAGCGTGTGGAGTTCGGATGGTCACCAATGATTCGAGGGAGACAGACCAATCAGGTGAGAGAACACCTGGTGCAGGTGGGACCAGATCTTTAATGGTTCTGTATTTGAGCGTGTTTATTGATAACAGTCTGAATGTTTCTTATTTACTGTCAGGTGCAGGCAGAGTGGTGGGCGGGGCTGATGCAGTAAAAGGGGCGTGGCCCTGGATGGTGTCTCTGTGGTGGCAAGGGCGTCACGTCTGTGGAGCCTCTCTGATTGGCCGAGAGTGGCTGCTGACAGCAGCCCACTGCGTCTATGGGTAAGATGTAAAACGATCATCCTTTAGTAGATCTTCAGTCTGAGTATTGACGACCCGACAGGTGAGATTCCTTTAATCATAGATGGATCAATCAATAGATAAATAACAGATATGAAATCAGTAAGTAAAGAAAATAATCGATAGATAATAAATAAGTTAAACGAGTTACAACACAACATGAATACTGTCCTGTTCAGTTCAGCCTCTTTATTTTCATTTATGGGGTTTAATTTACAGACATGCAGAGAAATACGACGTCATTATTACTAAAGCAGAAGACGTTAAAGTCGTCAATAATCGATCAGAGGAAGAGATTTAAGGCAAAAACGAACTCAGACCACCTTCAAGTCTGTCTCCTAAATGACTGTTTTTAAGTCCTTCTCTTGTCTCTTACGTGTCTTTGACGTGTTTCCGGCGTGTCTCTCACGTGTCTCAAATGTGTCTCTCATGTCTCGAACTTCTCCTTGTCCCTCAGAAAAAACGTCCACCTGTCCTCCTGGTCAGCCGTCCTCGGTCTTCACCGTCAGAGTGACTCTGACGCCGACCAGGTTCAGACCCGACGAGTGGATCGCATCATTATCAATGAAGAGTATAACAGACAGACCAAACAAGCCGATATCGCCATGATGCATCTGCAGGAGCCCCTGAGCTTCAGCGGTCAGTAAAACTGCCTTTTCAAAATAAAACACCTTTAACTTCGTACAAGACGACAGGATGTTTAAATGAACCAATCAGAGTTCGACATTTGATCCCTGATTTAAATCATTACCAAGGCTGTGTCCAAAATGGCGTACTACTCCTACTAACCCCGCCCCTGAATTGAGTAGGCAGTGCGTTCACACTGTACAGTATGTGAATTTTGTGTATGCGAGAAATGCCCGGATGTATACTCAATCGGCTTCGATTTCTGAGTGTGGAACGGAGCTTGCTTCACGTACTGCTTCTGCCCCACAATGCATTGCGCACCTCAGCTGGTAATATGGCCCTCCTTCCCGAGGCTGAAAAGAAATAGATGGCATGTGATTGCAATAATAATTATATATATAAATAGATAAACAATATTTAGTCCGTATACATTACACAATTTTCATCATTTTATCATATTTTGATCTTTTTACCAGATTTATTTGTATTTTAAATTAGGATTATAGGTCATGTTTTTAACTATTCGTCTGAACTGACTTTATTTATTTAAGTGTCTATTAAAGATGTATTTATTACATCAAGTTTGAGCATCTTCTCATCTCTGAATGCATCATCAAAGTGGTCGCTCATATTAAGCACAGACCTCTGATTAATAAAAATTATTATTGGTAGAGAGCACATGGTTCAGAATATACAAACGGGGGAGTTTCCAGTTGACAATCTATGTGAGCTTTACTAATTCTTACTTGTGGTTGAAAATCTGATGGTTTCTGAAATTATCATTGTACATGAAAAGAATGTCGTCGGGAAATGATGTATTTGCCAAGGAATAACCGAACGAGGTCATAATAATTATGTTGTGTGTTGGTCATTTTGCAGCCCTCTGCTGCTCATCACACGCCCAGCAGGTGGTGTATAGCATTATCACCATGGATACACGGATGTTTGTGTGATTTTTTTCATCCACTGTCGCCCGGTTTGTGTCGTGTAGATGTTGATTATGAAAACACTTCTCAATAATTTGGAAACGTGAAGGGGGAGCTGCTGCTGCCCGGTGTTTACGGTAAATAGACGCAAACACCCACCAAGTGGACGCTTCGGTCTCCGAAAACGCCGAGACAAATTTACAAACAGCCACTATTTCAAACATTTATTTAGCTGGAGGGGGCGGGGTTCATGACCTATACTGTAACCAATCACCAGGGGGAGCTGTTCTTATGGAGGCTTTACTAAGCGAGGCAGCAGATGACGTCCGTTCTGTATAGACTCTGTGTTTCGGACAGTTGGAGTATTTAGAGTATTTCAAAGTTTTTAATTGAAAAACTTGTTTTTGTGTTTTTGTGTGTTTTTATGTTTTTTTTTTGTGTGTTTTTGTTTTTTGTGTGTTTTTATGTTTTTATGTTTTTTTTGTGTTTTTTGTGTTTTTTTTGTGTTTTTGTGTTTTTGTGTTTTTGTTTTTTGTATTTTTGTATTTTTGTATTTTTTTTTTGTATTTTTGTGTTTTTTGCGTTTTTGTTTTTTTGTTTTTTTGTGTTGTGTTTTTTTGTATTTTTGTGTTTTTTGTGTTTTTGTGTTTTGTGTTTTTTGTGTTTTTTTGTGTTTTTGTTTTTTGTGTTTTTTGTATTTTTATATTTTTGTGTTTTTTTTGTGTGTTTTTGTGTTTTTTGTATTTTTGTGTTTTTGTGTGTTTTTGTGTTTTTTTGTGTGTTTTTGTGTTTTTTGTATTTTTGTATTTTTGTGTGTTTTTGTGTTTTTTTGTGTGTTTTTGTGTTTTTTGTTTTTTTGTGTTTTTTTTGTGTTTTTGTGTGTATTTTGTGTGTCTGCGCTCAGACTCGGTCCAGCCCGTCTGTTTACCTCCTGAAGGTCACGACCTCACAGCAGGAAGGAAGTGCTTCATCACTGGGTGGGGACGCCAGGAGGAAGGGGGTAAGACACACACTGTCCCACCTGTCCGTCTCACCTGTGTGTCCGTCTCAGCTGTCCATCTATCTCACCTGTGCCCCCCCCCCCCCCCCAGGTGTCCTCCCTGATGTCCTGCAGGTGGCCCAGGTCCCCCTGCTAGACCAGGACCAGTGTCAGGTCCAGTTACCTGAGTACACCATCACCTCCAGCATGATCTGTGCCGGACTCCAAGAAGGGGGCGTGGACTCCTGCCAGGTAAGACCTCACCTGGACCCGCCTTCAGAGTCCACCTGCAGAGTCCTCCTGAGTCCAGTCCAGATCAGGGGGACCTTTAGAAAACTGAAGACCTGCTGACGACCAAAACCTACAAGGGGCAGAGGGACCTCACAGACCGCATCCAGAACTGCAGCGATATATGCACCGATCAATACAGAGATTAACGCGCCGATCAGTACAGAGATTAACGCGCCGATCAATACAGAGATTAACGCGCCGATCAATACAGAGATTAACGCGCCAATCAATACAGAGATTAACGCGCCAATCAATACAGAGATTAACGCGCCGATCAATACAGAGATTAATGCGCCGATTGTTGCGCCTGTCACTTCATTGATTTGTTAAAAAAACAGTTTGTTCATAAAGTTTATTATTTTTTTAGGGCGACTCTGGAGGTCCACTGATGTGTGAGGAGGAAGGATACTGGACTGTGATTGGTCAGTCAAAACACACACACACACACACACACACACACACACACACACACACACGCACACTAACGCTGCCATCTGATTGGTTCCTGACAGGTGTGACATCATTCGGCGTTGGATGTGGTCGTCCTCAGAGACCCGGAGTCTACGCCCGAGTATCTGACTTCACTTCCTGGATCGCCCAGACCAGACGCTCCGCTGATGACCTCTGACCCTGATAACTGTTCAGTTAATCAATAAATCAATAAATCAATAAAGCGAATAAAAATGAAAACAAACAGACTCTGAATTCATTGATTAGATGAATTAACCTAAAATAAAGTCTACTGAAGTTTTTAATCTGATCAAACGGTTTGATCGGATTAAATATGTCGGGGGTGGGGGGGGGGGGGTATTTGTTCAAATATTTGTTTTTTTTAGTTTAAAAAAATGAGACTTTAGAGTCTAAACTCCGGGGGGTCAGCAGGGGGCGGTAAAGGAGGAGAACTGTCATTAAATACCACGAAGAAGAAGAAGAAGGAGAAGAAGGAGAAGAAGGAGGAGGAGGTTGTTATTTTCTCTCTCTGGTGTTTTTGTGTTTCGGACCCTCGGTCTTCAGTTTTGTCTCTAAATCCGGATCATATCTGTGAACCCGAATCTCAGAGAGACCCGGACCCGGAGGACCGGAGCGAGTCTGCAGTAAAAACGGGAGACGAGAAGAAAAAGAGTCCCGGAAGTGGATTTACCGTCAGGTCCTGTCAGGCTAACCGGTGTTAGCAGGTAAGCTAACTACATAAACCCGCTGCTTCCGGTTTTTACTCATTAACTTATTAACTAACTAACCGTCCGGGTTAAAGACGTCACACTGATCACGTGATCACCGGGAACCGTTATCAGCTGTTAGTGAGACCCGGACTGAGACCTGAGACCCGAACTGAGACCTGAGACCCGAACTAAGACCCGGACTGAGACCTGAGACCAAACTGAGATCTGAGACCCGAACTAAGACCCGGACTGAGACCTGAGACCAAACTGAGACCTGAGACCCAGACTAAGACCCGGACTGAAACCTGAGACCAAACTGAGACCTGAGACCCGGACTGAGACCCGGACTGAGACCCGGACTGAGACCCGGACTGAGACCTGGACTAAGACCTGGACTGATACCTGAGACCAAACTGAGACCTGAGATCCGAACTAAGACCCGGACTGAGACCTGAAGTTTCCTATAAAATAAATAAATGATATTATCAGAATATTTAATCAATAAAGAGATTGATAATAACTCTGATCTCCATGTTTATTCCTAATCAATACTTCCTGTCCCTCTGATGGTTATTTTGGTTTTTCGTGGTCATCAGTTTTTTTATTATTATTATTAAACTCTGTTGTTTGTTGTTGTTGTTGAACTGCAGAGTTTGAGTGACAGTTCAGTATGTGTCTGCAGCTGACTAATCCTCTACTAACTACTTCTAACTACTTCTAACTACTTCTAACTACTACTACTACTTCTGCTGCAGCAGCTAACTACCCCTGTACGCTCATCGACGACCGCTGCTGATGAGAATCCAAACTCTGCTACGAACCGAACTACCACCTAATATAACCCACAAAGCGCAGCGTTTTTGTCGTGCTTTTATTTTGAAAAGCGTCACGTCACCTGTATAATGCGAAGTCTCGTTTGTCATTGGTCACGTGGTTTTCAGCGAACTGAGGTTCAATCTTACAGTCCTGATAATCCATCGATGATCGTTGGTCTCTTGATCTCTTTTTCTTTAAAAAGTGTCGTGGGACGACGACTGTCGTGAATCAGCGCAAAATAAAAAAAATCGGATTAAAGTTCACCTGTCGTCTGACTGAACGATTTTATGTTTTTATTTAAATTCAGAGTTTTTATTTATTATTCTATTTATTTTATTATTTATTAATTATTTAAATTCTATGTTTTTATTTATTATTCTATTTATTTTATTATGTATTTATTATTTAAATTCAGAGTTTTTATTTATTATTTTATTTATTTTATTATGTATTTATTATTTAAATTCAGAGTTTTTATTTATTATTCTATTTATTTTATTATGTATTTATTATTTAAATTCAGAGTTTTTATTTATTATTCTATTTATTTTATTATGTATTTATTATTTAAATTCATAGTTTTTATTTATTATTTTATTTATTTTATTATGTTTTTATTATTTAAATTCAGAGGTGTTTTTTGGACTGAAGGAACACTCTGGTGAGAAACTCGTTCCGTTTTTGTTTCATCGTCTCTGGTTTCTTTTTCACGTCTTTCTCTGTTTTTGCTGATTCACTTTATACCCGGTCAGTAAAGTACGTCTTCAGAATAGCGGCGGTCTCAGGTGATGCATTCTGGGTAAATGGGTCTAACCAACTTGGCTTAGTGAGGGTCTGTTTTTTTTATATTAAAATCGTAAATCTCAAATACAGTGAATGAACATGCAGTATAGTATTTTATTTTAATATGATTATTTCTCAAGACTTATTTATTATAATTAGGCCGATTGGTTTTCATCTTTTTAAAAGTTCTGAATTTTGGCTCCTAAAAAAAACTCAAAAAGTTCATTTTTGTCTCCGTTTGTTGGCCTGACTGAAGTCTTTTACTCCTCTGTCCAGCAGAGGGCGCTCAGCTCTAACCTCACACTCTTGGCTTCATCAGTACGCTGAAAAGAAGAAGAATCAATATCAATAATAATAATAATAATAATAATGAGGTCCTGAGGTCCAACATCCTGGTACCTAAACAAACAGGTACTGGACTGCCCTGCTCTGACCTTTGACCTCACTCTGTTCTCTCTGTTACAGACGCTCAGCATGAGCAGCGGAGAAGGTCGACCACGAGAGGAGGAGGGGGAGGAGTCTGAGGGGGAGGAGCAAGAGGAGGGGGAGGAGGACTTCTACGACTGTCAGGAGAACCTGCAGAACCTGGAGCTGAGAGGAGGAGGAGAGGAGGAGGAGGAAAGGAAACAAGGAGACGGACTGATGGACAGGAGGGAGGAGACAGAGAGGAGGAGCGGAGGACAGGGGGAGGAGACAGAGAGGTGGAGGGGAGGACAGGGGGAGGAGCAGGAGGACAGACAACAAGACAACGAACTTCAGAGAGACGATGAGGAGGAGGAGGGGCTGCAGGAGGACTCTGACTCTGAGATGAAGGGGGGAGTCGGGGGTGAGGTGGAGTTTGATGATGAGTACCTGAGAGAGCAGGAGAAGGAGCTGACGGAGGAGGAGAAGGAGGTAACACCTGTTCACCTGTATGTTGGTCAGCCTGATGTGTTCAGGGTCAGTTTGTAACTTTGTGTTTCAGAGTCGACGGCAGGAGAGTTTGACTCTAAAGGAGCGAGGGAACGACCAGTTCAAGGCTGGAGGTGAGGCCACGCCCACTTCCTGGAAACCAGTTTAACCAGTGTGACCCGTTTAACCAGTGTGACCCGTTGTTCCTGCAGACTGGTCGGAGGCGGAGCAAAGCTACAGGGAGGCCCTGGTTGTTTGTCCGGTCTGTTTCAGCAAAGAGAGGTCTGTGTTGTTCTCCAACAGAGCTGCTGCCAGACTGCACCAGGTTAGAACACGCTAAGAACACGCTAACAGCTGAGCTGATGCCAGACAGACACATCAAACCTACAACACACCACAAACACGCTTACAACACAGCAGCTACACACCTCCCACTGAGCAAGTTTTGGTCTGATAGACGTCTAAATGTAGACCAGACGACGGTCTACAATCAGACTACCACAGGTCTAAAAATGACCTCTAAATTTAGACCGAGGTTAGACTCGCCGGCTAACAGAAGTCTAACTGTATTTTGCTTAACGACTATCATAATTAAATACTTATCGAATAATCGATTAAAGTGCGACGTCTGAATTCTTCTACAGATAAACAGAAACTAGACTGTTGAGATGAGGTCTATAAAATAAGGAGACGTCTTACAGCCGTTTAGTGCTCAGTGGGCTGGTTCCACTCAATGAAATCCTTAACAACAGTTTCCTCTGTGTGTGTGTGTGTGTGTGTGTGTGTGTGTGTGTGTGTGTGTGTGTGTCAGGGTCTGAAGGATCAGGCCATCGCTGACTGCTCCAAAGGTGAGTGTTGATGACATCACACTTTACCTGCATGTTGACATCAGTCTCTGACGTGTCTGTGTGCTGATTGGCTGTCCTGTTACTATAGCGATAGAGCTTAATCCAGATTATGTGCGAGCGTTACTCAGGAGGGCGGAGCTTTACGAACAGACGGACAAGCTGGACGAGGCCCTGGAGGACTACAAGAAGGTTCTAGAACTGGACTCAACACAGTCCACAGCAAGACAGGCGTGTATGGTGAGTCTATAACAGTCTACATCCATAACAGTGTATAACAGTCTACATCTATAACAGTCTAAGTCTATAACAGTCTATAACAGTCTACATCTATAACAGTCTATAACTATAACAGTCTATAACAGTCTACATCTATAACAGTCTAAGTCTATAACAGTCTATAACAGTCTACATCTATAACAGTCTATGTCTATAACAGTCTACATCTATAACAGTCTACATCCATAACAGTCTCTGAGTTGTCTGGTCTGTGATTGGTGGACCAGATAAGAGGCGGGGCCTCATTCTCTTGGCTCCTCCTTCTAGATTCTCTCAGATAGACTCAGCCTTATTTTCAGTCCTCCATCCTCAGAGTTCTGGACCTCAAAGGAGTTCTGGTTCTGGTTCTGGTTCAGAGACGCTCTGAAGATCTGATGGTGTTTTTAGATTTTTCTGTTAGAGGAACTTTGATCAGATCAATGAAACTGATTGATTAGAAATGTTTATAAGGACACTTGGAACTGACCTGATTGGACCTTTCTGTCTCTCTTCCTGTTCACCTGTACCTCACCTGTTCACCTGTACCTCACCTGTTGACCTGTGTTTGTCCCTCAGAGGTTACCTGGGCAGATTCAGGAGAGAAACGAGAAGATGAAAGCGGAGATGTTGAGTACGTACTTCACCTGAACACATCGTCTTAAAGGAACACTTCACTGTTTTAGCCAATGAATCATTAAGCAGCCAATCAGAGCTCAGTAAATGTCCACTTCCTGTCTTAAGACGACCTCACCTGTCCCTCAGGTAAACTCAAAGATCTGGGGAATCTGGTCCTCAGGCCGTTTGGACTTTCCACCAACAACTTCCAGGTGAACCAGGACGCTCAGACGGGGTCGTACTCCATCAACTTCGTCCAGAGTCCCCACGGCAACAACAACAACAACAACAACAACAACGACGGCAACACTACATGATGACATCACAGCGCCCCCCCCCCCCCCCCCCCATGTGTTTCTAAATAAAGCTGATTGGTTTGTTTACTGCTGGTGGTGTTGTTGTGACCTTTGACCTGGAGCCGGACTACATTGACCCAGATACTTCCTGTTTATCTGCTGAGTGACATCATGTGAGGAGGCGGGGTTAGAGACATCTGACCAATCACAGACATGATGAGACGAGCATGCGTCACGTCTCCCAGAGTTCACCTGTCAGAGGTCAGGGCGTCACAGCGGGATCATGACTCCTCCCACTCTGACCTCGGTGACCTATCAGAGGTCAGGGCGTCACAGCGGGATCATGACTCCTCCCACTCTGACCTCGGTGACCCGTCTTAGTTCAGGGTCGGATATTTCATCATCATTGATGATGTTTCGTAACGTGAAAGTCGAGCGTCTCTCAGGAAACTCAGTTCTTCCTGTTTGACGGTTTACGAAGTTTCTGAGAACCTGATGGACCGGGTCTGGAGGGTTCTGAGGTCTACATCTAGTATATCTACATTTATGTAGAGTGTGTGTGTGTGTGTGTGTGTGTGTGTGTGTGTGTGTGTGTGTGTGTGTGTGTTTCAGCTTCTTCCTCACTTTAAATAACAGTCAGAGAAAATTTCAGCTTCACTTTTTATTAAGAACAAACAACAAAAATAATATTAATAATAATAATAATAATAACAGACTATTGATGATGACAGCTGAGTTTACATTGGAGAGAGAGACCAAGTGTGTGTGTGTGTGTCTGTATTTGTGTGTGTGTGTGTCTGTATTTGTGTGTGTGTGTGTCTGTATTTGTGTGTGTGTGTGTGTGTCTGTCACTGGGCTCTCCTGGACAGCAGCATCTCTCTGATGTTATCTTCTGCTTCCTTCACGCTGCGTTCGAGGTACACCTTCTTCTGCTGGAAATCACAACGCCGACAGTTAGACCAGCTACTGAACACACACACATTTATATACACACATTTATACACACACACATTTATATACACACATTTATACACACACACATTTATATACACACTCATAGGTAAAAGAGTGTGTATATAAATGTGTCTGTGTGTGTGTGTGTGTACCTCCAGTTCTTTGATCTTCTCATCAGCTGTTTTCTGTTTGTCCATCAGCTGATTGTTGATTTCCTCCTTTGACTGCAGGATGAACCTGAAACACACACACACATATAAACACACACACACAGACACACACACACACACACACACACACACACACAGTTACTTTCTGATAACTCCCTCATAATCACACAGACCCGGGTCTCCACATAGACCCAGGTGGTCTCCTCAGACTCACATCCGGCCCACCCCCTCGTAGAGTCTGGTGTTGTCGGGCAGCGTGGTGATCTCGGCGTGGGTCAGTTTGGCGTGTTTCTGGACCCGGGTCAGCTGATCGATCTGCAGGTCGGCCAACTTCACCTTCTGCTGAGTGTCGATCATCTTCACCTGCAGCTCCGTGAAGGCCTGGAACACAACCAGAACCAACAGAACCATCATAAGCAGAACCAACAGAACCATCAGACCCAGAACCATCAGAACCACATGAGTCCAGATGGAGTGTCTGAGGTCCAGAGGTGTCCTCTGTTTTAATGATCATAAATGAGTAATGTCTCTATAAGATCGTTGTTCTCTCTACAGACAGCAGAGTTTATTATTGATCACAAACAGAGATAGATCTCTGTTCAAATCTAGACTCTTCTATATCTGGACAGAAACGTGTCACAGTCTCTTCCTTCAGTTAGCTCCTGTAGTTAGCTCCTGTAGTTAGCTCCTTCAGTTAGCTCCTTTAGTTAGCTGTTAGCCGCTGTGTTGCTAACAGCTGACTGTTTTATTCAGAACTACGAAATAAAAGAGAGAAAGTGACGAAAAAAGGAGAAAAACAGAAAAACATCGATGTAATTTCTACCTTCTTCAGCTCCAGATCTACGGGCGCAGCCATCTTCTCCACAAATGAGACACAGTTACACTCTGCGCATGCGTTAAAACTGCAGTCTTTACTTTTTTGGTATGTCCCTCCCTGGAGCATAGATATAAGACAGACTAGATGACTCTATGAGGCGGAATCAGCGGCGTCCCTTCACGGCGGCCATCTTACTCCAGTATTCCATTCTGGTCCGCTCTGTGGTAGCTGACGGGAGGTGAGTAAAAATCCTCTTAACTCTGAAATCTTGACAGATTTATAAACGGTTTAGTTTATTACAGACCTTAATAACGAGGCTCTAAGTCTGGATGTTTGGAAGTATTAAAATTACAGATTTACCTTGAGAAATAATAAAGACTTAATCATGAAGCACAGATGTTTCACGGCTGTAAGGACTAACTTTGAGTCACTTTGTCAAGACTGAGACCACAATCCAGATTTTAATTTCGTTTTAGTCCAAGTGTCAGTCTTTGTGGATGTGTTTGTGTCTAACTTGTCTAACAGACTCGCTCTGACTGAGACCAAAGTTACAAAGTTGACCCAGTAATTTTACATCATTTAAAGAGGCAGAAATGCTCTTTAGATTCAACGAAACTGCAGTTACACATGATTTCCAAACTGTTTGGTTTGTTAAAAAAACATCTAAAGTGGAAACATGAGGCAGAAATTTATGTTGAAGAAATTAATATTCATATAAGTTATTGTTATATGTTATTATAGTTATCACTATAATAAAAATATTACTAATATAACAAACATGGAATGATTAATTGTTTTATATATAACTGCCTTGTGTGTGTAGGTCTATAGCTATAGCTCTACCTATCTGTTTAATGTTTATTTATGTAAATCCATGGTTAAAATTGTTCTTGAGTATTCAGGAACTAAAACTCTGAGGTTTGTTACAAACTAAACTGTTTGAAAATCGGTTTAAAATAATTAATCTGTGGTTATTTAAATGTTACATGAACTGTAGACTGGAATGTTAGGAGTGGGCGAGCTGACCTTAGCAAGATGGCCGCCATATGATTGCCATTGGCTAATAGCGTGTGTGAGCCATCTAGCGTTTATGTCTATATATCTATCTATATCTATATCTATCTATATATCTATATGTGTGTGTGTGTGTGTGTGTGTGTGTGTGTGTGTGTGTGTGTGTGTGTGTGTGTGTATATGCGGCGTCTACTCTTTATTATGTCTATGGTGAAGTTAAGCCCCGCCTACCGGAAACGGAAATCTCTCAGCAGCGCGCGGATTTGTTTTAAAAACAGAGCTCCTCCAGCTGCTTCACTTCAGTCTGTTTTTGTATCTCGGACCTCAAACATTTTTAATTTAATTTAATTTTTCAATCTAAAACCCGAAAAACCAACAAGAACCGGGTCCGACATGGCGACTCCACCGAAGAGGACGTGCCGTGTTTCCGGTGGTTTGTCCCGCAGAGAGAAGAAGATCTCCATCGAGGGAAACATCGGTGAGTTTAACAACCTCATCGGTGAGTTTAACAACCTCATCGGTGAGTTTAGAGAGGGTAAATTCTCCGTTAATCCGGTTCCTGATGTTGTTAACGGACTGAAATCCCGGTGAGTCTGACCGAAGAGCCGGCTGAAAGAGAACCGGGTCAGAGTCACTCTGTTCGGGATTCTCCCGCCTTCACAGCGGGGCTGATGGCGCCAAACTTACACCACTGATCAATGATCGATAACCCGGTCAACCTGTGTGTGTGTGTGTGTGTGTGTGTGTAAACTCTTGAGACACTTCTCTGTTGTTGTGTTTGTCTGATTGATTATTGATCAGATTGATTGATCCTCATGGATGTTTTCAAACATTTTAGTGAATCAGAAGTTTGTTTTTTTAAATTTGGTCTTTTTCTCTCCTGACTTTGTCGCTCTCCGGTGACCCTGCTGCTCTTAGATCGATCGGTTCTCATCAGGGGCTTGAATGGTTCTGGTCTCATGGGGTCTTCTGGGTCAGACTCTGTGACTCTGGTTTCTCCGTGGCTCCTCTCTCATGTGGGTCCCTCAGGGTTCGGTTCTGGTTCCCCTCTCCAAACTCCCTCTCCTTTAAAACAGCAGCTCCTCCTCTTTTACTGATTTTTCTTGATTGTTGTTAAAGTGTTGGAATCATTTATTGATTGTTGACATCATTTATTGATCTCTGGGAACAGTTTTACTGCAGTTCTCTGAGTACTCAGTATCACAGTACCACAGTAGAAGTACTCAAAGAGGTGAGGAAGTACTGAAGGTTCTGAATGTGAACGAGAGGAAGGTGTTCACCTGTGTGTTCAGACTCATCACAGTGTGTGTTCATTCTGTGTGTGTATTTGTTGTGTAATAGTACACACAAACACTCTGTCTGATGATCACATGACCTACAGTTTAACGGGACCTCGGCTCGGTCCTCCTCTGGTTCTGGTTTCAGCTGCAGGAAAGTCCACCTTCGTCCGGATCCTCCAGGGGGCGTCAGAGGACTGGGAGGTGATCCCTGAACCAATCGGAAAATGGTGCAACATCCAGAACGACAACGAAGACGACATTTACCAGGTACACACAAAAACACACACACAACAACAGCAGGGGTCTGTTCTACGAGGCGAGTCTCCATGGCAACGTACGCTGAACGTTCCAGATTGAACTCATGAGTATAAAAACCCCGCCCACTGACCAATGAGCTCTCTGGAAAAACGGCGTGTCCGTTCTTGGAGGATCCTGTAGACCTCGGTGCTCGCCTTGTCCGAGGAGGAGCACTCCGGCGTCCGGCGAGTTTTCAGGGACCGCACAGACCCACTTCCTTCTCCGGATGACCTCCTTTATGAAAGGCTAATATGGCCGACACACAAAACATGTGACCACGATAGGAATGAACACATGAATGAATTCATCCTGGAAATGAATCAGACATGTCTGCTCGCCGTAGTTAAAGCGCGTGTTGAACAGCGCTGTTTCAGGGTGATGACCACATCAAAGATTTTTGGCGCTCTATACTTCCATAGTGAGACTGTCGGCCATTTCCTGCCAGCGTTCCCTCCGGTCTTCTGCGGCGGCGGCGGCGTTGTTTTTGAGGTTTATGACAGATTTGAATTCTTCAGACTTCCTCATGGTCGTCTCCTGCTCCTCGTTTGTAAAGTCCGCGGTCCTTCGCTCTCCGGCCTGCTGGTCCATGTTCCCGATTGGTCAGATGTGGCGGGCTCCGCCTTACATGCGTGCACGCGCTCATAGCAGAGCTGGAGCCTCTTATGAGGTTGATGACCGGCGTCGTAAGACCGTTTAGTGAGACCGCTGGTTACAGCGCTAAGTTGAGCGAGGGAGCGCCAAGGCGACCTCGCTGGGTCGAACCTGCTTCATAGAACAGGCCCCCGGTGACCACACACACACACACACACACACACACACACGCACACACACACACACACACTCACACACACACAAAAGCACACACACACACACACACACACACACATATACACACAAAACAACACCTGAACACCCTGTGTGTGTGTGTGTGTGTGTGTGTGTGTGTGTGTGTGTGTGTGTGTGTGTGTGTGTGTGTGTGTGTAGGAGTTGAGTTCCTCTCAGAAGAGCGGTGGGAACCTTCTTCAGATGTTGTACGACAAACCGAGCCGCTGGTCCTACACCTTTCAGGTAAATGTGACATCATAGGTGACCCACCTGACCTTTGATTGACAGGTGAGTTCCTCTGTAAACTAACGGTCTGCTCACCTGTGTGTGTGTGTGTGTGTGTGTCTCAGAGTTACGCCTGTCTCAGCAGAGTTCGCTCGCAGCTTCAGTCGCCGTCATTGAAACTTCAACGAGCAGAAAACCCCGTCCAGTTCTACGAACGCTCCGTCTACTCCGACAGGTAACACACACACACACCTCAGACAGGTAACACACACACACCTCAGACAGGTAACACACACACACCTCAGACAGGTAACACACACACACACACCTGAGACAGGTAACACACACACACACACACAGACAGGTAACACACACACACACACACACCTCAGACAGGTAACACACACACACACACCTCAGACAGGTAACACACACACACCTGAGACACACCTGAGAGCGTGTGTATGATGTGGCGTGTGTGTGTCCACAGGTACGTGTTTGCCTCGAACCTGTTTGAGACGGGTTACCTGTCAGAGACGGAGTGGAGTGTGTATCAGGACTGGCACACCTGGTTACTGAACCAGTTTGAACTGGACATCGCCCTGGACGCCATCATTTACCTGAGAGCCCCCCCACAGGTAACCCCAACCCCACCTGCCAGAACTCCTCCTGTGAGGCGTTCACTGACTGACTGCAGCTGTGAGGGTCAGTTCGTGCTGCCTTCACTGTCTGTTTATTTCAGCGCTGCCTTCACTGTCTGTTTATTTCAGCGCTGCCTTCACTGTCCGTCTGTTTATTTCAGCGCTGTATGCAGCGTCTGCTCCATCGCGGCCGTGAGGAGGAACAGGGGATTCCTCTCGATTACCTCGAACAGCTTCACTTCAAACACGAGAGCTGGCTCTACCACAGGAACCTGAGGTAAGCACTGAGCGCGCTCACAACAAGACTCCTGCTGAGGACCCGGTCCACTTCAGACCGGTTCCTTTCTTCTGGGTTCATTTACAAACAGTCTCACAGGAACGAGGACGGACGTCTCAGCACGGCGATAGTGTGACCGTCCGTCCTCTTTTTTTTATAAAATCCTTCAAATGTCCTGAACGTGTTTTCAGTGATTTTAAAACAGAGCAGAGGATCAGTCCGCCCTGCAGCTCCGCCCCTCCGCTCTAAACAAAGTCACTGACGCGACGCAAACATGGGCCATCTTTGGGAATTCAGAATAAAATATGTTTAACCGAGTTAGAAGAACAAAAAAATCCTCAAAGTTTCGCACACGAGTCCGCCCCGTGTGGTCGTGTGGAATGTGGTCACTCTAACGTTTGTCCTGTTTTTACAGAAACACAGTGAAACTCTGGATTAACATCATTTCTGTTCGATTATTTTAGACTCACTGAAGGCGGCAGACGTCTGTTTCTGTTATCAGAGACTCAATAAAAGTTTTGATTAACGGTGAAAAACCTAAAGTCGACTTTTTTCAATCAAAGGTATTGATAAGGGAATCATTAAAGAACTGAATCTATAATGGCATCAATATCGATAAAATCTTATCAAGTCCCATCCCTACTCGTGTTTCTGAGCTTTGGTTCTCGTCGGTCTGGTCCTCTCAGGGTCAGTCTGGTCCTCTCAGGGTCAGTCTGGTCCTCTCAGGGTCAGTCTGGTCCTCGGTGATGCGTTCAGGGTCGGTCTGGACCTCGGTGATGCGTTCAGGGTCGGTCTGGTCCTCGGTGTTGCGTTCAGGGTCTGTCTGGTCCTCTCAGGGTCGGTCTGGTCCTCTCAGGGTCGGTCTGGTCCTCGGTGATGCGTTCAGGGTCGGTCTGGTCCTCGGTGATGCGTTCAGGGTCAGTTCCATTAACCCGTTGTCGTTGGTGTGTCTCAGGTTGGACTTTGAGTACCTGAATGATCTCCCGGTTCTGGTTCTGGACGTCGACGATGACTTCAAAAACGATCGGATCAAACAGGAAGTCGTCGTTGACAAGGTATGACCTTTGACCTTTACCCTCTAAACAGTGTATCAGTGTTTCTGAAGGTCAGGCTGATGGACATGCTGTGACCTCTGACCTTTGTGAACAGGTGAACATAGACGTTGACGGTCTGAATAGATGTTTGTTTGGATCCTGACCGGGTTTTTCCTCCTGCAGGTCAAAGACTTCCTGTCTTCACTCTGAAACCTCGTCCACCAATCACAGCTGCTGATGTCAGCGGCCGTTACCCCGGACGACAGACGCCGTCAGAGTTTAGATTCGAAGAGGCGGTTTGACGTTTTTTTAACGTTTTTATTTTTGTACAGAAACATTTTTAACACGTCTGTGAAACACGCTGCCACAGACCGTCAGTGAACGCACCGCCTGTGTGTGTGTGTGTGTGTGTGTGTGTGTGTGTGTGTGTGTGTGTGTGTGTGTGTTTGTCCTGACATGATCTGTCAGTGAACTCCTCATGGTGCGTTCAGGGGTCGCTGTTTTCTCTGTAAATCTGTGAATAAAGAGCGTGAGACGGAAAGTTTGTCGACTTTAATTTGTTGTGACACACAAATACACACAAATACACACAAAGTACCTGTACAGGTGTGTTTATTACTGGAGGTTAATGGGTGCAGTTCAGTGTGGTGACCAGCAGGGGGCGGTGAGCTGAGGTGTGTGTTCTTTTATCTGGAGTTAGAATCTGAAATAATGTTCCTGAACTCTCAGACAGGTGTGTCCGAAATGGCCTACTACTCCTACTACTCCTACTAACCCCGCCCCTGAATTGAGTAGACAGTGCGTTCACACTGTACAGTATGCGAATTTTGTGTATGCGAGAAATGCCCGGATGTATACTCAATCGGCTTCGATTTCTGAGTGTGGAACGGAGCTTGCTTCACGTACTGCTTCTGCCCCACAATGCATTGCGCACCTCAGCTGGTAATATGGCCCTCTTTCCCGAGGCTGAAAAGAAATAGATGGCATGTGATTGCAATAATAATTATATATATAAATAGATAAACAATATTTAGTCAGTATACATTACACAATTTTCATCATTTTATCATATTTTGATCTTTTTACCAGATTTATTTGTATTTTAAATTAGGATTATAGGTAATGTTTTTAACTCTTCGTATGAATTGACTTTATTTATTTAAGTGTCTATTAAAGATGTATTTATTACATCAAGTTTGAGCATCTTCTCATCTCTGAATGCATCATCAAAGTGGTCACTCATATTAAGCACAGACCTCTGATTAATAAAAATTATTATTGGTAGAGAGCACATGGTTCAGAATATACAAACGGGGGAGTTTCCAGTTGACAATGTATGTGAGCTTTACTAATTCTTACTTATGGTTGAAAATCTGATGGTTTCTGAAATTATCATTGTACATGAAAAGAATGTAGTCGGGAAATGATGTATTTGCCAAGGAATAACCGAACAAGGTCATAATAATTATGTTGTGTGTTGGTCATTTTGCAGCCCTCTGCTGCTCATCACACGCCTAGCAGGTGGTGTATAGCATTATCACCATGGATACACAGATGTTTGTGTGATTTTTTTCATCCACTGCCGCCCGGTTTGTGTCGTGTAGATGTTGATTATGAAAACACTTCTCAATAATTTGGAAACGTGAAGGGGGAGCTGCTGCTGCCCGGTGTTTACGGTAAATAGACGCAAACACCCACCAAGTGGACGCTTCGGTCTCCGAAAACGCCGAGACAAATTTACAAACAGCCACTATTTCAAACAACTGGGCTCATAATCGTGATGTAAACACTTACTTTCTCGCTAGAAAAAATATTATTATTGAATGAATTTATATAATTTGTCCGGGATGCAGTCGTTCTGTGTAGCTTGTGGTAGGACTATTTAAATTTTCCCGGCGCTGCGTCCGGCCGGCACGAAATGCATTCTGGGGTATTTAGTATGTATGTGTGTAAACGCTCGGGCAGCCGCGGCATACTCAAATCATCTTTGAGTAGTCAGTAGGCAGTAGGTACTGCTTGAGTAGGTAAGTAGATAGTAGCCAGTATGCCATTTCGGACACAGCCTCAGACAGGTGTGTCACTCAGCTGAGGTCAGAGGTCACCTGAGCCTGACAGGTGAGGCAGGTTGGACTGATGACATCACAGTCTGACAGCCAATCAGAGAGCTTCAGGTCAGTGTGTTAACAGCAGCTGTCAATCATTCAGAGTCTGAACCTGATTTTAGTCAAAAATGTGTGAGAGGAGCATGACTCAGCAAAACACACACACACACACACACACACACATGACTCAGCAAAACACACACACACACACACACACACGACTCAGCAAAACACACACACACACACACACATGACTCAGCAAAACACACACACACACACACACACACACACACACACACACATGACTCGGCAACAAACACAGTTCCTGACGGGTCCTCCTCAGGTTCAGGGTTCGCTAAGAGAAAAAAAAGACGAGGGATCACGAATTTGACCTTTGACCTTTGATTAAGATGTTTGTTGTTAAAGAAGCTGAAGACGTCTCTCTCTGCTGAGGGGACACACACACTCACACACACACACATGACTCGGTGGTTCTCTGACGGTCCACCAGCCTGGACTGCAGACCTGAAGACCACCTGAGGTTCTTCTACCTGAACCATCTGAACTCGCCAGTTTCAGTGACATCAGAGTGTTTTACCGTCAAAGACGAGAAACTGAAGAGCGACTCGGAGACGATTGAGCCGTAAAAGGGTTAACGTTCGAGGACGAGGAATTAGCGAAGTTTTTCTCAAACACTGAAGTACGAACAGACGAGTTCGCCGCCTTAAACCTTCAGACAACCTTCTCGCTCGCACTCGAGTCAGCTGACCGATTATTAGGGCGGAAAAAAATCCGATTAATAAAAAATTAAAGTTATAAGAAATCTAAATTTACTGTAGACTTACTGTAGACTACTGCTCTTCACGCCGACAGTTAGACCGACTGACCAATCTCGGACCAGAAAAGTGTTTTCAAAGTAGTTAGTGGATGAAGATCAGCATGAGGTCGCTGTAGCGCCATCTACAGGAGAAGTCAGGGAACTTTTTAAATGGAGGAACATTTTCAAAGTGAAACCGAATCTTTTTATTTCTTAAATTATCGGTGAAAATCGGCGAGTTTTGGCCGATTACCGATTAGTCTCAAACGGGCTAATTAATCGGTCGGGCCCTAGAGTGAAGGTCCGTGTGCAAACGCCGACACACCGCTAACGGAGACAAGAAAACGACGCTGGAGCTAACATCGTCCACGAGAAAATTAAAGTCACCAACAACCAAGACCCGGTCTACACAGACCCGGTCTACAAAGACCCGGTCTACAAAGACCCGGTCTAGATTCAAGACTCTACCAGAGGAATCGTAAAACTGTGGACCAAAAACCACAGGTGACTGAGTGAATTCATGTGTTAATATAAACATCATGTTTAAACAGGTTTTGACTGAACTTTAAAATCTTTTTTAATCTGAATGTTTTTTTATTCAGAGTTTAAATAATTTAAATGATGTTTAATTTAAATTCAAAATAATTGATCGAAATAAAAACATGAAAGTTTGATTTTTATTTTTGTTGTTTTTTTTTTCCACAAACTGAAACTTTGTGAAAACTCGGAGAGCGGATGTGGGTTCAGGGTCAGCGCTCTGAAACTGTATAGACATGGTTTAATGTGTCACTGTGACCTCTGACCTCTGCTGTTGGATGACCTGAAGCAGGTAAATAAATCACCTGCTCTGATCTGCAACACTCACACTAAATACACACCCAGACACACACTCAGTCACAGCTGTGTGTGTAATGGTCCGTGTTAACACGTGTTCCACTTTCTTCATGAAACCGTCCGAATCAAAATGATCGTTTGTTTCCTTAAAACTCAATCAACTTGAAATTTAACTTTCAAACAATAAAAACTCAAATATTTAATAGAAATTAAACTTTAATAAAGAATTAAATCTGTTTTGATGAGACGCTGATGAAAGTCAAACTTGAATCATTTTCGAATTTTGTCCAAAATCAGTTTTTTTACTGAAATTATCAACATTTTGTGTTTTTTTTCAACAGTTGAATCAATTTTTCATAAAAAGTCTAAACTTCATTTTGAACTAAAATCATATTTTACTGTTTTAACTGAATCACATAAATTCATTTTAATGACAAAAATATTTGATGATCTTTGAAAAACTTTCAAAATTTTTATTTAATTTTCTTTCTGTTAAAAAAATTATTTTCTGCATGAAAAGATTTTTGTTAATGTGTCGATAATTTTTTTATTTGAATTTTCTCTAAAAATTAATTTTTTTATTGAATTAAAACTCAAATAAACTTTTTTAATTAAATTAATTCTGTTTGTTTCAAACTTTTAACAAGGTTTATTTTTTTAATGTGTTTACATGAATTCATAAAAACGTCACTTTAATCTGTGTGTGTGTGTGTGTGTGTGTGTGAGTGTGTGTGTGTGTGTGTGTGTGTGTGTGTGTGTGTGTGTGTGTGTGAGTGTCTGAAACACGCTGGGTTGTGTGTTTGTTCAGATTTTCCCACAGCGACAAACTCAGTGAGGAGCGAGAACACAAAAACAAACTGAGGACACATTTTTATCAGGACACACGCTCTGCAGAACCGGGCCTGGAAGGTCCTGGAAGTGTTTGAAACACTCTGTTTTCTCTGTGAAGGTTTTGTTTGACATCTTCTAAAGCTTAAAGAAGTAAAAAGAGTGATAAGGGTCGGCAAAATAAGCCATGGGCTTCAGCCTCCACCTCGCAGAAGAAGAATGTGTTCGTATATTTGTGAAGATCAACCGAATCCGAAATCTGAAAATCAACTCCAAAATAAATCTGAATCTGAAACAGGCCAAAGGGATCGGGGAGGGTTTGGAAAATCCTGCGGAGGTCCTGAGAAAGTTTGGTAAGAATGAAATGAAGGTTTTGGAGAAAGTTTGAAGGGTCTGGAAAAGGTTTTGAGGGGTCTGGAGAAAGTCTGATTGTGTCAGTCTCCGTTCCTCCCTTCATCAAACTGTTTGAAGCTTTTATTGTGAAATTGACTTTTTTTTTATTTGTTTAAAATGAATTAAAAGTAAAACAAATAAAAAAAACTGAAACTCTTTTAAGACAAAAACTTCTTTAATGAAAAAAAAAACAGAGAGACTCAAACATTAACAGACGAGTTTCAGTCCAAAAACAAACTGAATTTAACAGACGAGTTTTTCTCCTTCACTCATTAACTTCTCTGTTAACCCCCCCCCCCCACCACCACCACCCTTTTCTCCTCCCCTCTACACCCCCCCTCACACGTCTCCTGGCCCCCCCGGCCGTCCGTCCTCCAGTCGGTCCCCCTCTCTGACCCGGAGCGTTGGTCCGTTCTGCTGCAGACGTTAATCCTCTTTGTTTTCGGTAATCTCTTAAATCTGAGAGCAGACTCCGATCGAACCCTTTTCACCTGCAGCCACACTCCGCTCGCTCCGTCAGGACTCACCTCCAACACCTCACCACGACTCCAACCAGAGACATCAGAGGAGGTCTGGAAAGTTTTGGAAAGTCTTGAAGAGTTTGTGTCTCTGCTGACTCTGCATCATGATGGTCTTCTTGTTCTTCTGTTTGGTCCTCAGGTCGGAGAGGAGCCTCCAGCTCACCTGAACTTCTGTAAACACATCCACACCTGTGCTGAAGGTGGCGCTACGACCATGAAACACCTGAGATAGAGAAGATCGAGAACCTTCAAGTTTCCAAACCTGGATTAGGAAAAAAACGTCAGAAGATTTAAGAATTAAAAAAGAGAGAGAGAGAGAGAGAGAGAGAGATGGGATTCTCCGACCTTCTTCAGGAGGTGAGTTTAACGACCTGTAATCAGATTATAATGATCAGTAAACTGATTAAGTTGAAACTGATCAATCCAAATTTTGATCATTTAAAGTTCTCATAAGAATGTTATGATTGTTTGTATCTGATGAATCTGATGAATCTGATCACCTGTAATCTGATGAATCTGATGAATCTGATCACCTGTAATCTGATTAATATGATTAATCTGATCACCTGTAATCTGATGAATCTGATCACCTGTAATCTGATGAATCTGATGAATCTGATCACCTGTAATCTGATTAATATGATGAATCTGATCACCTGTAATCTGATTAATCTGATGAATCTGATCACCTGTAATCTGATTAATATGATGAATCTGATCACCTGTAATCTGATGAATCTGATCACCTGTAATCTGATGAATCTGATCACCTGTAATCTGATTAATCTGATGAATCTGATCACCTGTAATCTGATTAATCTGATGAATCTGATCACCTGTAATCTGATTAATCTGATGAATCTGATCACCTGTAATCTGACTGAACTGTGATTGGATTTAAACGGGTGACGCTGCTGTTCCACTGATTGATGACAATAAAGGGGGTGGGGCCTCCAGAGAACTGGCCAATCAGCAGAGAACCTGGATGTGTGACCAGAATTTTTTGATCAATCTGTAAACTGATCAGAGCTATCCCATTAGTCTGATCATATTGATCGATAATCTGACCTCAGTGTTGGTTAATCTGGACTTTAAAGGTTTAATCTGTAGAATTTAGCCCCATATTCATGACATGGAGAGTTTGTTTATGTCGTTAATAAGGATTTGAATATTGATTTGAATATTGATTTGAATATTGATTTGAATATTGATTTGAGTATTGATTAATATGTAAATTTGAGTGATGATTAAAGTCGTTTGAATTATTGATCATCGGCGGACATGTTGGACCGCCATGTTTTCTACAGGAGCTCAGAGCGGACAAACTAGCAGAACCAAAGGAGTTTGTTAAAGACCCAGATCAGCTGATCCGTTTGAATCAAGTTTAGATGGTTCTGGTTCTGGTTCTGGTTCTGACAGATGGATCAGGAACCAGAGTTCGTTCAGGATTTGTTGGAATAAAGGGTCCAGGTGTGTAACCTCTTCTTTTCCCTGGTTGCCATGGTGAGGTGGGGGGCTTCGGCAGGTACCAGTGGATCCATGTGACCCTGATCAGTTTACCTGGACTCATGATGGCGAGTCAGAACCTCCTCAACAACTTCGTCTCAGGAATCCCCGACCATCACTGCAGACTGCCGGCCAATCACAGCCTGAGCAACCTGACGCACCTGCAGGTAACCGACCAACCAATGAGCACCTGTCACACAGTCAGCTGACCGGTCTGACGGAGGTGACCTGTCCCTCTGAGTCTTCACCTGTCCTCACCTGTCCCTCTGAGTCCTCACCTGTCCTCACCTGTCCCTCTGAGTCCTCACCTGTCCCTCTGAGTCTTCACCTGTCCTCACCTGTCCCTCTGAGTCTTCACCTGTCCTCACCTGTCCCTCTGAGTCCTCACCTGTCCTCACCTGTCCCTCTGAGTCCTCACCTGTCCTCACCTGTCCCTCTGAGTCCTCACCTGTCCCTCTGAGTCTTCACCTGTCCTCACCTGTCCCTCTGAGTCTTCACCTGTCCTCACCTGTCCCTCTGAGTCCTCACCTGTCCCTCTGAGTCTTCACCTGTCCTCACCTGTCCCTCTGAGTCCTCACCTGTCCTCACCTGTCCTCACCTGTCCCTCTGAGTCCTCACCTGTCCTCACCTGTCTGTCCGTCCTCAGGTGGACGAGAAGCAGCTGCTCAAAGTTTTCATCCCTCCAGACTCTTCAGGAACTAGACTGGACCGCTGTCGGAGGTAGAGTTGTTTCATTTGAGGTTCTTCAGAGACACACCTGTTCTGATGTCACTTCCTGTTGCACCTGTTGTTGTTCAGGTACGTGGAGCCTCAGTGGCAACTGTTAGCTGCTAACAGCTCAGCTAACGTTAGCCAGATCCCGACAGAGGAATGTTTGGACGGATGGACCTTCGACAAGTCCGAGTTTCTGGCCACGACCGTTTCCGAGGTAAGGGGGAGGGGTCCAGAAAAGACGAGCTTTGATTGGCCAACAGGAAGTCCATCTTATAATTTGGTCATTATCATCATGAAACAGGAAGTCGTAGTTTGCAGAGTAAAACGACGTGTTTGACAGATGGGCGGGGCTTAATGGTTCCTGTCTGGTTATTTCTTGTGTTGATTTTTGACTCCTCCTTGTCTCGTCTTCTTCTGTGGTTCCCCCTGACCCCTCCCTGACCCCTCCGTTCGGCGTTCTCAGTGGGAGCTGGTTTGTTCGCTCCGCCCTCTTAAACAGATGATTCAGACCATCTATATGGGCGGAGTTTTAGCTGGAGCCATTATCTACGGAGGCCTGTCTGACAGGTGAGATACACCTGTCCTCACCTGTCCTCACCTGTCCTCTCCTGTCCTCTCCTGTCCTCACCTGTCCTCTCCTGTCCTCACCCGTCCTCACCTGTCCTCACCTGTCCTCACCTGTCCTCACCTGTCCTCTCCTGTCCTCTCCTGTCCTCACCTGTCCTCTCCTGTCCTCACCTGTCCTCACCTGTCCTCACCTGTCCTCTCCTGTCCTCACCTGTCCTCACCTGTCCTCTCCTGTCCTCACCTGTCCTCACCTGTCCTCACCTGTCCTCTCCTGTCCTCACCTGTCCTCTCCTGTCCTCACCTGTCCTCTCCTGTCCTCTCCTGTCCTCACCTGTCCTCTCCTGTCCTCACCTGTCCTCACCTGTCCTCTCCTGTCCTCACCTGTCCTCTCCTGTCCTCACCTGTCCTCACCTGTCCTCTCCTGTCCTCACCTGTCCTCTCCTGTCCTCTCCTGTCCTCACCTGTCCTCTCCTGTCCTCACCTGTCCTCACCTGTCCTCTCCTGTCCTCACCTGTCCTCACCTGTCCTCTCCTGTCCTCACCTGTCCTCTCCTGTCCTCACCTGTCCTCACCTGTCCTCACCTGTCCTCACCCGTCCTCACCTGTCCTCTCCTGTCCTCACCTGTCCCAGGAACGTCCCAAACTGACCGTCTTTCTCTCTCCTCAGGTTTGGGAGGAGGTCTGTCCTTATTTGGTCGTACCTGCAGCTCGGCGTCCTCGGCAGTAGCTCTGCTCTCTCTCCTTCGTACACCGCCTACTGTGTGTTCCGGTTTCTGAGCGGGATGGCGGTTTCTGGGATCATCCTGAACGGCGTTTCTCTGAGTACGTGTCCACAAACGCCATCAGCTTCAGTTTCCTGTTTGTCTGTATTTCCTCCGTATTTACCTGTTCAACCGCTCACCTGTCCGTCCAGAGGTGGAGTGGATCCCCACCAAAGAGAGGACCTTAGTGGGCACGCTCACGTCTTTCTTCTTCACCTTCGGTCAGATGATCCTGGCGGGGCTTGCCTATTGGCTGAGAGACTGGAGGAATCTGCAGGTGGTCGTTTGTGCGCCGCTCTTCTTGTTCTTCGCCTACAGCTGGTCGGGGTCACCTCTGTGATTTCAAGTCCATTTATTCTGTCCTCTTATTGGTTGGCTAGCTTTGACCTTCCTGTGCTCTGATTGGTCAGGTGGTTCGCAGAGTCCGCTCGTTGGCTGGTTCTGAATAATCGACCCGAGGACGCGTTAAAGACTCTACACAGAGTGGCTCGAATCAACGGGAAACAGGAAGTCACTGACAAGCTGACGCTGGAGGTAAACGACTGTCTGTCGTCACGCCGAGAACATTTATCCAATCAGAGGGTGACACTGGTACCATGTGACCCGCAGGTTCTGCACTCTCACATGCGTAAGGAGATCGAGTCGAGTCGTTCTTCGTACACGGCGCACGACCTGCTGAGGACCCGAGGAATGAGGCGGATCTCCATCTGTCTGATCGCCGTGTGGTCAGAAATACACCTGCTCCACCTTCACCTGCTCCACCTTCACCTGCTCCACCTTCACCTTCACCTGCTCCACCTTCACCTTCACCTGCTCCACCTTCACCTTCACCTGCTCCACCTTCACCTGCTCCACCTTCACCTTCACCTGCTCCACCTTCACCTTCACCTGCTCCACCTTCACCTTAACCTGCTCCACCTTCACCTGCTCCACCTTCACCTTCACCTGCTCCACCTTCACCTTCACCTGCTCCACCTTCACCTTCACCTGCTCCACCTTCACCTGCTCCACCTTCACCTTCACCTGCTCCACCTTCACCTTAACCTGCTCCACCTTCACCTGCTCCACCTTCACCTTCACCTGCTCCACCTTCACCTGCTCCACCTTTACCTGCTCCACCTTCACCTGCTCCACCTTCACCTTAACCTGCTCCACCTTCACCTGCTCCACCTTCACCTTCACCAGCTCCACCTTCACCTGCTCCACCTTCACCTGCTCCACCTTCACCTTCACCTGCTCCACCTTCACCTGCTCCACCTTTACCTGCTCCACCTTCACCTGCTCCACCTTCACCTTCACCTGCTCCACCTTCACCTGCTCCACCTTCACCTTCACCTGCTCCACCTTCACCTTAACCTGCTCCACCTTCACCTGCTCCACCTTCACCTTCACCTGCTCCACCTTCACCTGCTCCACCTTCACCTGCTCCACCTTCACCTTCACCTGCTCCACCTTCACCTGCTCCACCTTCACCTGCTCCACCTTCACCTGCTCCACCTCCACCTGCTCCACCTTCACCTGCTCCACCTTCACCTGTACCCCACCCCACCCCACCCCCCCATGATCATTCATGCTCACCTGAGTCCACTCAGCTCTTCTCATGTGTTCATTTACCTGCATCACTTTGACATGAATAACCTCACCTGTAAACTCACCTGTGACCTCACCTGTGACCTCACCTGATTGGACTCACCTGTGTCACTCTCCCCGTACCTTCTAACCTGATTGGACTCACCTGTTCTTCCTCACCTGTACCACCTGACCTGGGTTCACTCACCAATCATGTTTGTTGATCACAGTAACAGGAAGTAGGATCAGTGTTTACCTGTCCACCTGTACCATGTCCTCCCGTCTCTTACCTGTCCCCCCCCCCCCGCAGGTTCTCCACCAGTTTCGCGTACTACGGTCTGGCGATGGACCTGCAGAAGTTCGGGGTGAGTCACCTGGTTAGCATTGATGCTACATGTAAGCTAACACCTGTATGTTTGTTTACCTGTCCTCCTGGACCACCTGTTCATCTCTTTACCTGTCTACATTTCTTGACCTTTGACCTGCTGACCTGTCCTCCATCTTTCTCCGCCATATTTGCGTTTTGTTACTGCTGTCTTGAATGCTTCCTCTCTTCTCATTGGCTGCTGGGGGTTCCAGGTGAATATCTACCTGATGCAAATCATCTTTGGATTCGTTGATTTTCCCGCCAAAATGTTGGCTCTGGGCATGCTCAGTTACCTGGGGAGGAGGATCTCCCAGGCGACCTGCCTTTTCGTCTCCGCCCTCATCATCTTCGCCAACATCTTCGTCCCCTCAGGTGAGTAAAAACACGGATGATCACATGACTTTGATTCGCCTCAGTCCAGGTCATCAGGTGATCATGTGACATCTAAACGCCACCTTCACAGACATGCAGACCCTCAGGACCACCTTGGCGTGTCTCGGTAAAGGCTTCACCTCCGCCTCCTTCACCACCGTCTACCTGTACACTGGCGAGCTTTACCCCACCGTCATCCGGTAAGTCTGCAGGTCCAAGTTCACCTGAGAGCGGGCCTCAACTTGACCGTTTCCATGGTAACGACAGAACGACCCCTCCGATCACCTGTCCGCCGGTCATAGATTGATCACATGATGCGTTTTCAGGCAGACAGGCATGGGCTTCGTGTCCACCATGGCGAGAGTTGGTAGCATGGCGGCGCCCGCCGTCCTCATCCTGGATGAGGTGACATCGCCGAGCTGGTCATCTGATCAACTGTTTGATAGTTTACCAATAATCAATGCTGTGATTGGACAGAATCAAGTTTTTGGTTAAATTATCAATAAGTGATCAGAGCTGTTGATTGTCCTCATGAACCAATCATCGATCAATTAATTTATCAACTTATTGTATTATTTATTGATTATTTTAATCATTTATTGATCATTTATCCCAAACTGAGAACGATGATTAAAAAAATACTTCATTAAATTCAAATAAAACTATTTTTAAAAATAATCAATAACTTAATATTTCAATTCAAAACTAATCAATTCTTCATGAATAATCAATCAGCTGTCAGGTTATTGATCTGTTGACCTACAGATCACTAATCTGCAGATCAAATCATCACAAATCTAAACAGGAAGTTGCCCCCCTGGTCTGCTGGTTGTCATGGTAACCTCTCATTGACCTCACCTGTCTCTCCAGGTGCTCCCCGCTCTGCCCAGCGTGGTTTACGGCGGCTCGGCCGTGTTAGCCGGCTGCTTCGCCTGTTTTCTGCCGGAAACGCTGAACATCCCGCTGCCGGACACCATCGAGGACGTGGAGGAGAAATGGTGAGCTAAAGCTAAGGTTGACCTTTGACCTTCTCAGGTGTGTTTGGAGCATTTCCACCTTAGCGACGCTGTCCGACGCTGTCAGTCCCTGGCTGTGTCCGAAATAAATCCCTGACCCCCATACGGGTTTTCACGATAAACCTGACTCTGTAGTGAACTCAGTCACCGCAGGTTTCCGACACTACATGGCAAGACGCAATGCATGATGGGATGCCCACCACTGGTGAGTGACGATCGGATGGTCACTACATTTGGCAATGCTCTATGGGAAATTTAGAGTCGCCTATATGGGGCACTGGGATTGATCACTGAGGTTTGGGACACCCCTCAAAATGGCGCTAACCCGCATGTAGTCGCCGATATCGGGGTTAGGGATCCATTTTGGTCACAGCTGATGACGTCTAAAGACGACAGCCGAGCTAATGACAGCGCTAACTCCTCCTCCTGTCTGCCTTCAGGTCTGAGATTCGCCCCGCCCACAGAGACAAAGAGGGCGTGTCGCTGAAAGAGGGCGGTCCTTATGTGTATGGGGGCGTGGCCACCACTGAGGGCGGGACTTTAAAAGAGCTGAAAGAAGCAGAAGGGACAGGACTGAACGCCCTCTGACCAATAACTGACCACCGAGAAGGCGGCAGAAACAAACCGATAAAAAAAACACGTTAAAAAACTTTTCAGGGTTTTTTTTTCCATAATTTTTTTTCTTTTTGAAAAAAAAAAATCGGTTTGACGTAAAAAAAGATTGAAAATCAAAAACCTGATCACAAGTGTATTGATTATCTTTAGAGTTTTCTGATCAGGAGTTTATTGAACTATAGCAAAGGGTTTTAATGATATGAATTATTGTCAAAATGAGTCACTTATCAATAATAATAATAAAATGATTTTGATCAGCTGGTCGTCAGTTTTTTTTTCTCTCTTGTCAAAACAAAAAAAATTGAATTATTTCATTCTATTTCTCTATTCACCAATAACTTATCAATTTATCTATTGATTTGATTTCTTTTTTCTGTGATGTAAATTAAGATTTAAACAATTTAAAAAAAAAGTAAATATCAAGAAATGGAAAAAAAAAAAAGTCACTTGCATCTGCATATTCTTAAATATCTTACTTTACATGAGCGAAAAGAGGAAATAAAAACTTAGATAAATTCATATCAAATATAAAAATATAAACGTATATAGAATAAAAATAAATAAACTAACTCTTTGACTGAATTCATTTATTGATTTATTTAAACATTGAGGACCTGCTGACGTCACAATAATTGAAGTTTTGTCACCAAATAAAATCATTCCAGTGAAAAAATCAGATATTGATGATCAGTGATGAGAGAAAACAAATATTGATCACATATTGATAATCACAGTCAAAGTAAGACGACAAAGATCAGTTACAATCGATTTGATCTGGTGATCATTATGACTGATCAGTCATATTGATTATTTAAACACTGATCAGGTATTAAAATGACATTTGTTAGTGTGTGTGTGTGTGTTTATAGACTATTCTCGGGAGGTTTTAGCCCCCCCTAGTGGCAAGGCCTTCTTTCACTCGTTCATCCAATCAGAGACGACGCTTGCCTTCGTTCTTTTTGAGTGACAGGCACTCCGGCCACTCAGAGAGCGCGTGCGTAGCTGCCAGTGTTGTGGGAGGGCGGGGCCAGTCGCCGCTCGGCAGCACAGCGGAAGAAAATGGCGGCCGTGGCTGCAGAGCCAGGAGCTGCGGTGGTTCCGACAACAAGACCCGCGGCGACGGACGGAGAAGGCCCGCCAGAACCAGACTCGATAGGTACCGGACTACCAGGAGCTCTGAAAGATGGTTCGGGGGCTTGGGAGTCCGGCCCAGCTGTAGAGCTCGGCGGAGTCCGGGTGGAGGACTGCGGAGACGGGGAGGAGCGCCGCCATGTCAGGCCGGAGCTCTTAGACACCGACGGCCTGATCCAGAACCTGTCCGGAGACCGGGTCAGTTCGGACCGGTTCTCTCCGGGACTCCCAGCAGACCCAGAAGGAGGCGGGAACGTGTCCCGCAGCCTCCGGTCGGACCCGCAGCCCCCCGCCGTCTTCCTGCACTCCTTCCCGGTCCCGCCGCCCGTCACCGAGGCCGGACTGTCCCTCCAAGAACCGGCCGAACCCACCACCAACGGGACCACCAACCGGGCCGAGACCGCGGCAGGCCGGGAAAGGGGCTACAAGACCACGGTCCAACTGGAGCTGCGACCCGGACCCGCGGAGTCCGGCATGCTCTCAGTACCGGACAGCCCGAACCAGGAGCCGGAGCCGTGTTCCGAGGAGCTGCCGGAACCAACGCCGTCCTGCCGGTCCCCGAATTCCTCCCAGACCGAGCCCGGACCAGAAACCGGTCCCTGTCCTCCGCTGCTCGGCTCCGTGCAGGATCTGAGTCCCGGGTCTGAGGTCCGGGTCTCCCTGGACCACGTGATCGATGACGCGCTGGTGGTGTCGTTCCGGTTCGGGGAGAAAGTCTTCTCGGGGGTTCTGATGGACGTGTCCAAACGGTAAGCCCACACATGACGTCACTGTGCAGGTAGAGTCACAGGTCACGTGACGGTCGGTGTGAACGAACACACACACACACACACACACCTGTCTAAGGTTCGGTCCATCAGCTGTCAGGTCCACACCTGTAGACTTCACCGGGACCAGCTGAGCCCTAGTCCAGGTCCAGGTCCAGGTCCAGGTCCAGGTCTGTCAGATCCACTTAGTCTCATAAATTCTGATTTTTGAAGTTTTTCATTAAATTTGATTTTAAAGTAAAATTCTTCAGACCTGAACCCGGTCTCTGGTCTCTGGTCTTCTTGAAAGAACTCGAGTTTGGTCTCCTCCACCTTCATCCTACCGAGGGCCGGGCGATATGTGAAAAACTTTATCACTTTATATATTATTGATTTCCTATCAGCTGATATCGATCAATATCAGGATCTAAAAATCTATCAGGCTGTGTCTCATTTCAGAGACCGCATCGTGATAAGCGCGCTTAACGGCGCTTAGCTGAGTGCACTGCCGTTTTACGCCGTTTTACGCCGTTTTACGCCGTTTTGCGCCGTTCTGTGCCCTTCCTGTGTCCCATTTCAGATACAGCAGCCATCGAACGGCGCATCTGACGCGTACGTGAGGTCACCACGCGGCACGAACGGTGTCCCGTTTGGCACAAAATACTAATTGCGCTTCAAATTCGGTCTCAAAACCACACTACCCCCGCCTCGTTTTCAAGCGTGCATGTATGCACGCTTTCCTGCCGTCGGTATCCCAGAATTCTTTGCGTGCCGCTGCACAGCTGTGCATTTCAGGTGAGAGGCTGGACTCGCTTGGAGACACAGCGCGTCTTCAAAGAAAATACAAGAAATCCAAAAACAGCAGACAGTCAGCTCAGGCTGTATGAGAGCATGATCTCTGAACTCACTAAAATCTGTAAACCATACATCATAGATTTAGAGACGAACTGATCCGCTCTGCTTCAACAATCAAAAACATTAGAAATGAGAAAGCTGACAAAACTACAGCAGAGGATCAGGACAACATTGAGGTTTTTTTTTTCTTTTAAGATTTAGAGATTAAAGTTGTAAATTTAGGAGAATAAACTCATAAAGTAAATAAAGTCATAAAGCTGCTTTTGCGGAGGGGGAAATGACTGAAGCTGGTCATCTGCAGGGTTATCTGTGGATGTATCAGCGGGTCATTCAGAGAGATTTTGTGGTTTCTGAAGAAACAATCAAACTGATGATGATCAACATTTGTGATCCAGAGGGAGTCGAGCTCCGACGAGCACCACGTCTCTGACACCGGCGGTAGCCTACACCTGCAGAGACACCAACACCTTATTACTGCATATGGATTCATATCATAAACTAAAGCTCAATGTCATTCACGGATATTTACGGCTGCATTGACAGATATATCCTCAGCATATTCATTTCTGCCTCCACAAAATCAGCGATTTCCTTCAAGTACACCAGTTTTTTCCCCCGTGGAAAAGACGTATTTCTCATATATTCTTTTTTTAAAGTCTTTATACTTATGACAATGTGATGCTGATGTGCCAGAGGATGAAGAATCTCCTTGTTTGTGAAACCTATACTGAAGCACAGTTCCTTCAAATGCTTCATGGCCCTAATTTTAACAAGTCTCTCTGAAATAACAGGTTATGACTTCATTCTCATAAATTAATGACTTTATTCTCGTAAATTCACGACTTAAATCTCGAAGTCCTTAAAGTCTTAAATCTCAATATGGCCCTCATACTCCTTCTTACAAAACAATCATTGGATGAATTGTGCTTGTATGTATCTACTATTTTGTGTCTGTGCAAGGTCGCACAATTAAAACAATAAATGCTGCGCTCCGCGGGTTTCCTTTAAGTCAGTCGTGACGCGAGCCTGAGGGCGGGGACATTTGGCAACTCCACCAGGAAGTCCTCTGAAGGTCTCCAAATGTCCCCGCCCTCAGGCTTACGTCACGACTGATTAGAAAAAAAGCTGCGGAGCGCAGCATTTATTGTTTTAATTGTGCGACCTTGCACAGAAACAAAATAGTAGATACATACAAGCCCAGATCATTCCCACAAAATTCATCCAATGATTGTTTTGTATGAAGGAGTATGAGGGCCCTATTGAGAAGGAGGATAGGAGATACTTCATCCTCTGGCACATCAGCATCACATTGTCATAAGTATAAAGACTTTAAAAAAAGAATATATGAGAAATACGTCTGTTCCACGGGGAAAAAAACTGGTGTACTTGAAGGAAATCGCTGCTTTTGTGGAGGCAGAAATGAATATGCTGAGGATATATCTGTCAATGCAGCCGTAAATATCCGTGAATGACATTGAGCTTTAATTTATGATATGAATCCATATGCAGTAATAAGGTGTTGGTGTCTCTGCAGGTGTAGGTTACCGCCGGTGTCAGAGACGTGGTGCTCGTCGGAGCTCGACTCCCTCTGGATCACAAATGTTGATCATCATCAGTTTGATTGTTTCTTCAGAAACCACAAAATCTCTCTGAATGACCCGCTGATACATCCACAGATAACCCTGCAGATGACCAGCTTCAGTCATTTCCCCCTCCACAAAAGCAGCTTTATGGCTTTATTTACTTTATGACTTTATTCTCCTAAATTTACAACTTTAATCTCTAAATCTTAAAAGAAAAAAACCTCAATGTTGTCCTGATCCTCTGCTGTAGTTTTGTCAGCTTTCTTATTTCTAATGTTTTTGATTGTTGTAACACAGCGGATCAGTTCGTCTCTAAATCTATAATGTTTGGTTTACAGATTTTAGTGAGTTCAGAGATCATGCTCTCATACAGCCTGAGCTGACTGTCTGATGGTTTTGGATTTCTTGTATTTTCTTTGAAGACGCGCTGCGTCTCCAAGCGAGTCCAGCCTCTAACCTGAAATGCGCAGCTGTGCAGCGGCACGCAAAGAATTCTGGGATACCGACGGCAGGAAAGCGTGCATACATGCACGCTTGAAAACATGCTAAGCGCGCTTAGCATTTTTTAGCATCTCGTGCCAAATGGGACACCGTTCGCACCGTCGTGACGTCATGCACACTTCAAATGCACCGTTCGACGGTGCAGAAGGGCACTTAGGTCGATGCGGTCTCTGAAATGAGACACAGCCTCAGTGTTTCTTGGTCTCATGTCTTTTCAATAATCTCCTGCATCTGTGAGGTCTTTGTGTCTCTTTGGCGTTTTGTCGTAAGGCGTCGCTCTAGAGAAAGCCGACTGAATGGTCGTCTGTTTCAGGCGCCATGGGCTCCTCGCTCCTCTCGGGGTTTGTAACCTTTTGCGTTGCGCGTGCTCTGCGGCGTGGCGCTGCTTCAGGTGGTGAAAAAGATTTGAGGTATTCCCCGACTTTGTGAGAACATGTACTCGACATAATTTACAGTCCACATTACTCTGCTTCATGTCCGACCTCCAAAAACCAAAATACCTCCACACCACCGACGTTTTCCTAACGCCAGTGTTGTGGTTGACATTGATGTGGTCATCTGTTGAGCCTTCATGGTCATTTCTGTCGGGGGTAGCACTCATTTTCTTTGTTTCTCACCAACAGTGCTGTCGGCTTCACCTGTTAAAGTGCTATGGTTGGGTGGAGCTGCTGTCTGCTACGACGCTGCAGTTGGTTGATACTTGGTTCTAATTCAGAACATGATTGGTTCAGACCAGGAGAAACTCCCCTTTTCATTGGCTGTTCGTATAGTCGACCAAAACATGTCAGAATGTCGATTATTGAAAAGGATATTGATCATGTTTGATATTGATTGTTTTTATCGTTTTTATCGCCCTCCTAAATCACAGAGATGTTCACTCACTCTGATGAACTCTGTCGTCATAGAAACCGGACTCAGCTGTTGTTGGTGGTCTTTATTCTGGTTCAGGATCACCCGAGGTCTGAGTCCAGTTCTTATGGACCACCCCGCTAACACACTGTAACTGATCAGGAAACAGCGCCACCATCAGTTTGGTATTTAGATATTTTCACTGATAAGAGGCGGTCCTACACCCACCTGAGAGGAACCCAGGTACCAGGTCTGCTGCAGAGAACCCCCAAAGAGGACTGGACCGTCATCAGTATCACTTAGTGTCACCATGGTAACTATTCAGGCAAATAACATCCAGGGTCAGAGGTCACCCATCTAACAGCCAATTAGAGTGCAGATCACAGAGCTCCGATAGAGAGGGGAGAGTAAGATCTGATCAACATTATTGATCCCGATAGAGGTCAGGGGAGGTCAGGGGAGGTCAGAGTCGACGAACTTCAAAGTTAGAACAAAATTAAAGGAACAGAAAATCAAGAAGAGAGAAAAACAAGAATGTGACTAACCTGGAGTTAGGTATTCACATTAGAGAACAGTAATAACAACAATAACAACAATAACAACAATAATAAAAATAATAATAATAATAATAATAATAACGATAATAAAAATAATAACGATAATAAAAATAATAACGATAATATTATTAAGAATAACGACAATATTAATAATATTAACAACAATAATAACAATAACAATATTAATAATAATATTAATAATAATAATAATAACAATAAAAATAATAATAACAATAATAACAATTAAAAAAATAATAATAATAACGATGATATTAATAATAATAACAACAATAATAATAATAACAATAATAATAAAAATAAAAATAATAACGATAATAAAAATAATAACGATAATATTATTAAGAATAACGACAATATTAATAATATTAACAACAATAATAACAATAACAACAATACTACTACTAATAATAATAAAAACCACAACTCCGTTTTTCTTCTGACGAAATCTGTTGAAAAGTAAAATGTCTGAGTGTTAAAAATGAAGGAGTGACAGTGTTACAGTCGGTTTAAGTGTCAGGGTTAGGGTCATTGTTAGGGTAAAGGTCAATGTAAAGGTCATTGTAAAGGTCAATGTTGATGAACCAGAACCGATAAAGTCAGACTGAAGAAAAACCAACAAAACAATCGAACAGTTTTTTCTCTGTGGGAAAGTCGGTTCAGCTCTGGAGCGATCAATAATCCATCAATAATCCATCAATAATCCATCAATAATCCATCAATAACGAGTCAATAATGGGTTCATGTTTGAGTTAGAGTCAAATTTCAGGTTATTTTAATTATTAGTGATCTCTTTGAGTCCCTCAGGTTCTCACCCTGTCTATTGTGTGTGTGTGTGTGTGTGTGTGTGTGTGTGTGTGTGTGTGTGTGTGTGTGTGTGTGTTTGTGTGTGTGTGTAGGTTCGGACCCTATGGTATTCCAATCACCGTATTTCCCCGACGAGACGACAAGAATCGGCCTCAGCTCTCTGTGCCGCCATCGATGCCGGTTGCCAATGACGATTGTTCCATCAAACAGGAAGAAGTCAGTCCAGCAGCCACGCCCCCTCCTCACCCATGGACCTCCAAACCACCACCGCTTTTCCAGGAGGGGGCGCCGTATCCCCCGCCTTTGTTCATCAGGGACACGTACAACCAGGCGTTACCTCAGCCGCTGCCGCGCAAGATCAAGAGGCCGAAGCGTCGCTATCGCTGTGAAGAGCCCACCTCCATCATGAACGCCATCAAGCTCCGCCCCCGCCAAGTACTCTGTGACAAATGTAAAAGTGTGGTGGCGTCAGGTGGACAAAGGGAGGCGAGGCGGGGTACAGTGGACCTGAGGAGTGAGGAGGCGTCCCGACGGCGGCGACAGGCCGAGGGGCCGATCTCCTTAGAGGTCAAACGACTGAGGAGCGATGACAAGGGAGGACGTGCAGCCCCAGACCGCCGCTCATCATCGGGGTTACGTCTGCCATCCTCGGCGCCCGTCTCATCGTCATCTTCATCTCGCCGTGTGCTGAAGGGCGTGGCCTCATCCTCGTCCGGCCGCATGTGTCTAAATTCGAAGAAGGTTCTGGACAAACACTCTGCTGTGGACCGCTCCAAAGGTCGTCCTGTCCTCAATAAACTTTCCCCGTCCCACCGCCGCCCCAAAGACCAGAACCAGGGTCAGACTCAGAACCAGGACCAGGAGTCCGCCAAGGCTGTGACCCGAGCCGCCGCACTGCAGGGCAACAGCCAGAAGGTTCACTTCACCCGCCGCCTGCAGCATGTGAGCGGCGCCTCTGGCTCCTCGCCACTCCCGCCCAGAATGCGCCTAAAACCACAAAGGTACCGTACCGACGAAGGCCAGGATCCACCCCCCTCCTCCTCTCCTAAACAGAGTGCTCGCACATCACCTCCTAAACCTCCTCCTCTTAGCTCCGCCCCCACAGCTATGTCCACCACTCAGACCCCTCCTCTCCTCACACTTGTCACCACAGAGACACAAGAGCCCCGCCCCCCAGAGGAGAAGCAGGTAGAGCAGGTGGGGGGAGGAGATGAAGGGCAGGTAGAGGAGCCGCCCCCTCCCTCCTCCTCCTCCGCCTCCTCCCTGGACTCCTCCCACTCAGAGTGCAGCTCCACAGAGACCTTTGACCTCCCCCCTCCAGGAGACCCGCCCTCCACGTTCTCCTCCTCCTCCTTCTCCACGGGTCATCAGTGCCCCCCCTCCTCCTCCCCCGCCCCCCCTCCGGTCAGGGCTGAATGTGACGAAACGCAGGCAGGCGGCGAGGAGGAGGATGAGGAGGGCGGCGAACTGAAAAGGCGTAGGAAGTCATCCACGTCTTCCTCCTCCTCCTCCTCCTCATCGTCCTCCTCCGTCTTCTCCAAGCTGGTTTCCAAGTGGTCGCTCCCCGACGGCCGCACCGTCTGCGTCGGCGACATCGTCTGGGCCAAGATCTACGGTTTCCCCTGGTGGCCGGCGCGTATTCTTGGCATCACGGTGGCGCGGCGCGGTGACACGGGGTTGGCGGTGCGGCAGGAGGCACGTGTTTCCTGGTTCGGCTCTCCCACCACTTCCTTCCTGCCGCTCGGCCAGCTGTCGCCCTTCCTGGAGAGCTTTCAGTCTCGCTTCGACAGGAAGAGGAAGGGGCCGTACCGCCGCGCCATCGCTGAGGCCGCCAGCGCGGCCAAACAGCTGACACCTGAAGTCCGAGCGCTGCTCACACAGTTTGAGACGTAGCGTTGGGTTTCACTGCCACACCCCCACCTGACACCTCCAAATAAGTCCCGCCCCTTTTCACCCACCTAGACTGATACCTGTCCGTCAGAGACTGCCGCAGACATACAGACCATGTTCCCGTTTCCTGTTCTGTACTTCCTGTTTTGAGGAAGAAGCTGTTGAGATACCCGTCAGTTTTCAGGGGGCAGTGGGCGGGGCTTAGTTCAAACCAGGTATCAGCCAGCAGCAGCCGTGCGACTCGCTGTCACATCCTGACCAGCTACTGACCATGATGATGTCATTAGAGTGATGCTGATTGGCTGGTAGAGCTTACGGTTCATGACGATGATGTCACATGACATCAATATTAATGCAGCGATTGTGTTTCGGCGGAAGTCTGAAAATGACGTCACACCCGAGTTCCCAGAGTTTCAGTTACCGAAGTCTGAAGAAGCAAAATCGGAGGAGGAAACAAGATGGCGACGTCTACGAAAGTTATGTTAGCCTTTGCCTTATATTCGGACGAGGTAAGCGCTAACATAACTTTCTTGGATGTAACCATCTTGTTTTTGCTTTTTTCCGACTTTGGTGACTGGAACTCTGGGAACTCAGGCGTGACGTCATTTTCAGCTGCGTCGATTAATCCATAAAATCATAGAATGACCCGGTAGAGCCAATCAGAGTGCAGATAAGCTCGGCCATCTTGGTTTTTTTTATCCTTTTCAGCCCCGTTACCAAGGTAACCGTCCTCCATGTTTGCGTTTGTTTTTTCCGTTCCGGTGCGTGTCGTTAGCGGGCTGGATGGCTGCGGCTGGCTGGCGTCCCTCCCTGCCGGTCTCTCGGGTTCTTTCTGAGGGTCAGACCTGGTTTTTAAAACTGTGAAACTCAGAGTGTTGTCCAAACTGAGGCTGGGGTCCCACACAGGGTCCATACCTGCGTCTGAGCAGTCCAGCTGCGGTCATGTGATCATATTTAGGATGTATTGATCCTGTCAGACTGATCAGAGATGTTCTATTCAGACTTTGGTGAGGTCTCACTCTGAGACTTTGGGGCCTCAGTTTGTCAACATGATGCCGACAGGTAGGACAGGTAGGACAGGTAGGACAGGTAGGACAGGTAGGACACACTGACTGTTAGACAGCTGCTCTGATGAAGATAATGATGATGATGAAGATGAAGGTGATTTTCCCCTCTGCTGTTTGTAGTCTCAGCTGTCAGACTCTTTTTACCGTCTGTTTGCAGATCAGAGATCCTAACGGTCTGACCTCTGACCTCTGTACATGTTCGTTTTTTTCTCATGTTTTAAATCGATTAAAAAACTCTCAAACTTCTCTCTGATTCGTCGTCATTTGAACTCTTTCTTCTTCTGTGGTGGGGGCTGTTGGGGTCACAGCGGTGCCAGCTGTCAGATTTTCTCACCTGCAAACAGATGTTTGGTAAACGGGTCCGAAACTGGCGGTTCTTACCCAGAAACCAGCAGCAACCAGAACCTTTAACCTCCAGACCTCCAGACCAGTTAGTCCAGCTGAGGGTCGGCTGCTGGTTTCAGGTAAAAACTCTCAAATAACCAGAGTGGGAAAATACCAGCAGGGACTGACTAACTACTGAAGTATCGGACTTTTATACTAAACTAAACAAACGGACTTTTTTTTAGTCCAAACAGCTTCAGAGAATTCAAGGATTAATAAAAGGAGGAATAACGGAACTGTCTAAATACTGGAAAATAATGTCAGGTACTTGGTCATTGCGGGAAAAATAATCAGGTTTTGATTACATAACAAAGTGGTTGATCAGGTACTGACTACATGCTGAAATAAAAATGAATTTTCCACCCTCTCAAATATGTTTCATAATGTTTGAGAGGGTGCAGACTAAATGCAGTGATAAATACAGGAATATTTCATCACATGCTCACCAAATGTTGGAATAGGTTATTTCTCAATTAGGTACTGAGTTCATGCTGGAATAAGTGCAGGTTTTCTTAACCAGGTGCTGACTAAATGCTGGAGATAATGTCAGTTACTTAGCCATCAACAGTGTTCATCGAGGTCGATCAAATCGCAGACGGTGAAGACTGACAGATTATTTTACACACAGTGTAGACTGCCTCCATCTTTGTGGTTGTACAGATGCATTATAGGATAGATTAGGAAGGTCATCGCACTGAGGTAGGGAGAAGGAAGTAATGTTCATCGATTTAGACGTTTTCATGAACAGCTTCTGAAAACTGATTATAAACAAGATCAGTGAGAACAAATCTAAATAAACCTGAAATTAACCATGGTGCTGGATAAATACTGGAGAATTCAGTCTGTTTCTTTGGTGAAAGTCTCTGTCTGTGTCCTGAATGGATCCCTCACTCTCTATAGGTGACTCTGTGGGGGTTAACTCAAAATTTCCCATAAAGCATTGCAAAATGTAGTGACTATCCGATGGTCACTCACCGGTGGTGGGCATCCCATCATGCATTGCGACTTGCCATGTAGTGTCGGAAACCTCCGGTGACTGAGTTCAATACATTGTGCGATATACATTTACCGGCCACTTTATTAGGTACACCTGTCCAACTGCTCGTTAACACTTAATTTCCAATCAGCCAATCACATGGCGGCAACTTAGTGCATTTAGGCATGTAGACATGGTCAAGACAATCTCCTGCAGTTCAAACCGAGCATCAGTATGGGGAAGAAAGGTGATTTGAGTGACTTTGAACGTGGCATGGTTGTTGGTGCCAGAAGGGCTGGTCTGAGTATTTCAGAAACTGCTGATCTACTGGGATTTTCACGCACAACCATCTCTAGGGTTTACAGAGAATGGTCCGAAAAAGAAAAAATATCCAGTGAGCGGCAGTTCTGTGGGCGGAAATGCCTTGTTGATGCCAGAGGTCAGAGGAGAATGGCCAGACTGGTTCGAGCTGATAGAAAGGCAACAGTGACTCAAATAACCACCCGTTACAACCAAGGTAGGCAGAAGAGCATCTCTGAACACACAGTACGTCGAACTTTGAGGCAGATGGGCTACAGCAGCAGAAGACCACGCCGGGTGCCACTCCTTTCAGCTAAGAACAGGAAACTGAGGCTACAATCTGCACAAGCTCATCGAAATTGGACAATAGAAGATTGGAAAAACGTTGCCTGGTCTGATGAGTCTCGATTTCTGCTGCGACATTCGGATGGTAGGGTCAGAATTTGGCGTCAACAACATGAAAGCATGGATCCATCCTGCCTTGTATCAACAGTTCAGGCTGGTGGTGGTGGTGTCATGGTGTGGGGAATATTTTCTTGGCACTCTTTGGGCCCCTTGGTACCAATTGAGCATCGTTGCAACGCCACAGCCTACCTGAGTATTGTTGCTGACCATGTCCATCCCTTTATGACCACAATGTACCCAACTTCTGATGGCTACTTTCAGCAGGATAATGCGCCATGTCATAAAGCTGGAATCATCTCAGACTGGTTTCTTGAACATGACAATGAGTTCACTGTACTCAAATGGCCTCCACAGTCACCAGATCTCAATCCAATAGAGCATCTTTGGGATGTGGTGGAACGGGAGATTCGCATCATGGATGTGCAGCCGACAAATCTGCGGCAACTGTGTGATGCCATCATGTCAATATGGACCAAGCTCTCTGAGGAATGCTTCCAGCACCTTGTTGAATCTATGCCACGAAGAATTGAGGCAGTTCTGAAGGCAAAAGGGGGTCCAACCCGTTACTAGCATGGTGTACCTAATAAAGTGGCCGGTGAGTGTATAGTAAAACCCCATGTGGCGGTTAAGGGTTAATTTCAGACACAGCCTCTGAAATATGATCAGGATCAATAACTGCGTTTGATGAAAGGAAACATTTATTTATTGGATATTTACGACGTTTCTTTTACATAATTAGTAAGGCTAAGGCGTGGGATCAGATTAATTCCTGGTTCACATCACAAAGTGTTTGTCATCTGACCTCGTTATGATGACATCATCAGACTCCTCCCACTCAACAGCCTCAGCCAATCCACTTCCAGGTTACTGTGACATTTCTTAGCTGTAGAGCAGTGCATTGTGGGATTGATCCTGATAACTCTCTCTCTCTCTCTCTCTCTCTCTCTCTCTCTCTCTCTCTTCCTGTAGTGCGACCCTGAAGAGCTGCTGACACTCAGAATCCTGCTCTGTGATTGGCTGAAAGGCAGCAGGTGGAATCAGGCCGGCTGACTTTGATTGGACGTTTATAATTTAAGAGTTTATATTTATAATGAAGAGGACCACCTTAATATGGTCACTGACCGTTTCCATGGATACCAGTTTCACATGTTTTATTTGTCATCCAATAGGCAATCAGATAACTGATCACTGACCAATGGGCTTGCAGTCAGGGGGGGGCACGGGGTCACAGCTAACTGCACCTGAACATACCCCCCACCCCCTTTATTTTGAAGACATAAGGCTCCTCCCCCCTCAGGTCACCTGATAGGGTATGTAAGGTCAGCACAAAAAGAGGGGGAGGGTTAGCCTTCTTAGCAGCTAACGGCTAATACGGCACCTGAACGCCAGGGGGAGGGGCTTACATATGACACGGCATTTCACTGGATGACACATTTGCTCGTGGACCCGCCCAGGAAGAGAAAAAAATAGATTTTAATATGAAAATAAATGACGACAAAAAGATGTTTGAATTTTTTTTATTCAAAGTTTTTAAATTCGTCAGTTTAAGAAAATCCTAGACTCAGACCTGAACCAGACTACAGCTTAGACCTGGATTTAGACTCAGCTCACAGGTAATTCAAAACCAGTTAACTAATCAGGCACCGAACAAACACTTCAAATATCGACCAGTAAAACCATCACGAGTTCGTCCGATAATTAGGAACCAATAAACTGATCAAACAACGAACGAACTGACTCATTTAAGAATCCGGTTTAATCCAGTTTAATCCGGTTTAATCCAGTTTCATCCACAACTTCACACAGAATCAAGATCCATCAGAGTCCAGGTCCCACAAATTCCAAGTTCCACAGTCCAGATTTCTGGGTCTACATCCAGCACAGTCCAGATCTCCTAGAGTCCAAATCCAACAAAGTCCTGGTTCAACAGGATGTAGGTCAGAGAAAGTCCAGGTCCTTCTTCATCTGAGGCCAAATCAGAGTCCTGGTCCACAGTAGTTTGTACTCCATGGTGTCCAGGTCTCATAAAGACCAGATCATCTAAAGTCCAGGTCATGAGAAGTCTGGATTCAACAGGGTTAAGGTTTTACAGAGTTTGTGTCCCCTTGAGTCTAGATCAGACAATGTCAAGGTCCAAGGGAGTCCAAGTGCAGGTCACACACAGTCAGGATCCTGAAGGGTCCTGAAGAGTCCTACAGAGGTTTTCAGAGTCCAGAGTCCACACACATGTCCCAAAGGGGTCATGTAGGGTCCAGGCTCCACAAGGTCTAGGTTCCTCAGACCACAGATCCAACTGAGTCAAAGTCCCACAGAGTGGGGGTCCCTTGGAGTCCAGATTCCAGAAGGTACCCGAATGGTGCGGATCCACCTGAGTCCCAGGAACACATGTCCTTCAGAGTCCATGCCCATAGACCGGTCTTAGGCTCCACAGAGTGGTCCCCAAGAGTCAGGTGGAAGCTGTTTCTGTTTCCAAGACCTCAGACTCAGGTTCCACTCTGTGACCTTGACCTTGAGAATGTGACCTTTTTCCAAGTGGCACTGATGCGAAGCTAACGGACAACACTAACATTAGCATGCGATTGTTAACGCCAATATCACCCTTTGGGGTTACTAAAGGTCATTGTGTAACTGACACCTCAGAGAGATTTTAACCAATCACAACACAGGACTTTTATGACAACCGTTAGTTTAGCACCGTTAGTTTAGCAGGATACTTGACTCTGATTAGTTAGTCAAACACAAACAAAACCAATCAATCAATCAATCAATCAGTCTCAGGGCTTCATCACAGAGGTCATCAACTCAAACTGTCTTCACTAAAAATCAAACACTGGTTTCTGTCAGCTAGTTCAAACTGGTCTGATAAGGATCCCAGTGCTCCAAACTGGTTTAAACTGGTCTGTGTTGGTCTTCCAAGGGTCTGAGGTGGTCTTAAGGAAGTCGGAATCACCCGCTCTTCTCGATGTTTTTGTTCTGTGAAACTGAAATGATGCAAAAATGTGAGAGTGATCCCAGAAAAGTCTTTATTATTATTATTATTCATAAATTAAAAGGCTGCACGTGTGACGCCTGTTTACTGTCTGATTGTTGAATTCTAACCTCAGTTCATGTTTTCTGAACGTGTTTGAGGACTCGGGGTTTCACTTGAGCTCGATTTAGTGGAGACGTCATTTCATGATGACATAAACGATCATTGCAGAGCAGTAGATTAAAACAGAGTGGCGACAACTTCAGATCTCGCCGCCGGAGCAGTCACGTGGTTCATGTACACCTCCATAGTTCCAAACGCAGCCTGCACTGTCCATGCTCTGCAACGGGGCAGACTGCAGTGAGCGCGCATTTAAGAGGTAAATATTAAAATTAACCGTAAAAAGTCAACATTTGCAACTCTTATTGGATTACTGTGTACACGTCAAAGTCACGTACGTATATTTAGCGGCTGGATGACAAATAAAAGTGAAATAAGACAAGTTTGGTAACACGTGTTACTTTTTAATAAGAGAAAATAATACAATAAAGTGGTAAGTAACAGGTGTTACAAGCTGTTTAAACAATTGTACAATGTTTTGGTCTTGCAGCATTTTTCCATGTTAAACATACGCCTTAAATGCTGACAGGATTTAAAAAGTAGCGGTCCCTTAACTCTATCATCCCATAAGCAGAAATCAAATTACATAGCACTTATGTTAGTCTAAAAATAATAAACTGCATATAACATCGGGAACTGATAAAGGCTGAAATCTAAAATAAAGCCCATAAGTAACCATCTCATCATATGATTGATGATGATGATTCATCTGTGATTCATAACTCAGTCACACAATACATTTTGGCAGGTCTCTACAGCTGACGACGTCCAACTAGCAGGCCGTGGCTAAAAAATCGATCCCAATTCCTAACTAAAAAAACGTAATTACATTTGGGATATACATTTTTACATATAAAGGGGTCCCCTCGATATCAATAACACATGTATTGGCATTAAACTTGTTGATATTTTATCATTTAACCTCGGTGAGTGCTTGCCTTGTGGCCATAGAAGCGAACGGCGTCCGACGTGACAGGCGGTCATGTTGGAACTATAACGAGCTCCATAACCCGGAAGTGGGGTCCGCCGGGCTGTACAGCGTATGCCTATGGGAGTGTTGCCACTCTGTTTTAATCTACTGCTCTGGATCATTGAAGTCCACAGTTCTGACGCACAGTGACGGTTTTAGCGCGTTTTTACGTCACAGCAGCTGCTCAGTCCTTTCATCAGATCGAGAGGGAGTGTGTTCATTTCCTGCTGCTGTGGGACACACACCTGACACACACCTGACACACACCTAACACACACCTGACACACACCTGACACACACCTGTACACACCTGTACTGCTTCCTGTCCAAAGACAGTCTGTCCTCAGTGATGATCAATAATCAATAACCAGAGGGCAGCTTGACCCCAAACTGCTGTTTCACTCAGTCACCTAAACAGGTGAGAAGTTCCTGTCACGTGTGTGCGCGCGCGTGCGCGTGTGTGTGTTAATAATTAGTGGTTAATCTGTGCGGACTTTCACCTAAAACAATCTCTCTCTCTCTCCCTGTTTCTCTCTCTCTCTCTCTCTCTCTCTCTCTCTCTGTTTCTCTCTCTCTCTCTCTCTCTCTCTCTCTCTCTCTCTCTCTCTCTCTCTCTCCCTGTTTCTCTCTCTCTCTCTCTCTCTCTCTCTCTCTATCTCTCTCACTTGCTCACTCGCTCGCTCCAGTGTACAGTGTTTAATCGTCCAGGAAGTCAGACATGGAGGAAGACTGTAAGGTAAAGTGATTATTGATTGATTTTTTTGTTTGCAGAGGATTCTAAAGAGGAAAACTGTTTGTATTTAATTAATTGATCAGGACATTGATCAACATATCAGCAGAAATCATGTAGACATGCTGGAGTTGATTGATCACAGACCATCAGTTTGGGGGTTCTAGAGAAGAGACTGGACTGTTGCATTGATTACCAATAATAGTCAGAAATAATCTCAGGTATGTATTGATACTGCTAATGATCGGTCAACAGGAAACCTTCAGCTTGTTTCTCTGTTTGATTGAATCGATCAGAAATGAATAAATAGACTCTAAATTCAGCAGCTCCACTTGAACCTCAAACTAAGAGAAAAGTCGTGTTTGAATGACCTTCAAACTCTTTGACATCAATCCTGGAAACATATTTTTACTGAATGTCCTTCTTTATTGATTGATTGATTTAGTGTTTTAATTATTTCATTTGCTGTTTGCTCTGTTTTTAATCTTTTCTGATTCTAACGTTTATATTTGAGTTCTTCCTTTAACGATGTCTCTTGTTTTGTCTCCGATTTACAGCTCGAGATTTTCAATGTTTGTGAAGCTCTGTGTAACGTCTTTTTTGATAAGTACTATAATGATAACAATAATAATAATAATAATAATAATGATTATTATTATTATTATTATTATTATTATTATTATTATTATAGTAATAATATTAATAATAATAATTATTATTATTATTGTTATTATTATTATTATTATTATAGTACTAATAATAATAATAATGATTATTATTATTATTATTATAGCAATAATATTAATATTAATTATTATTAATATTATTAATATTATTATTATTATTATTATTATTATTATTATTGTTATTATTGTTGTTGTTGTTGTTTTACCGGTCTGGGCCTATACCAGTGTTTGCCTTGAGCAGTCCACTCTAAAGATTGTCCGAGTCCATATCAGGTCTTACATGAGCCCTACAAGAGTTAGTGTCTGTAACTGACTTGTACCTGTAAATTGTTCCTGGAGTCTGGGACCTGTTTACTTACAGCACACACACACACACACACACACACACACACACAAACACACACACACACCCACCATCTTTACAGAGTTCAGATTTCACCTGTCGGCCTACATGCTGCCATTGTACTCTGATCTATTCTGCTACAGCAGACTCTTTTATCCAAAGATCTAGACAAGAGGAACCAAAATCTGTGAGAGCAACAAGCGCTTCAGGTCCAACACAGTGTAAAAGGAAACACACACGAGTGAATAAAGGATTTTTTTATGAACATCAACAACTGACCAACCAATCATCAATTTAGGATTTCATCTTCATCATCAATTACACTGTCTTTGCCACAATAAAGTACCAGGTACTGGGTCACTCACAAAGAGTCCAGCAGGACACTGTGAGTCAACTATAGCTGGGAGACTCACTCAACCACTGGGAACAGTGGTTAGGACCAGTCTAGTTAGTGCGCGGTGTTCTCTAAAGAGCTGGGCCTGTATCTGCGTTTGGACAGTAGAGACGTCTACTCTGTTCTAGATCCAGCCAGAGGTCCAGTTCAACACTGAACACATTCAGAGAGTCTGCAGGTCTGTCCCACCTTGTCTCTGTCCTCAGCTGACGTCAGTGACTCTGTCCTCTTAATTCAGACATGAAGAACAGCCGTCCTTTAAAATCCTCGGATTATTCCTTTATTTTCATAGAACAGATTTATATCAAATGTCCGTTTTCTCTGTTTTATTCTTTGTCTAAAATTGATCTGCTTTTACATGAACATGCCTGTCTGGTCATCTGTCCAATCAGACCCAAGATTCCCTGTCAGAGGGGCGGAGCCAAAAGACAGCCAGGCTCAGCCTTCCAATGGGGGAAAGTGTAAAGAGTGACCACCCAATCAGAGTGCAGAAGGGGGGCTCAGACATGATTTACACCATTGAGGACGTCCCACCGTGGTACCTGTGTATACTGCTGGGCCTCCAGGTACACTGGGGCACACTGGGGGGCATAGTGGGGTACACTGTAGTATACGAGGGAACACTGGTGAAAACTTTGGCTTCAGGTTCAATGAATAAAAAAAAAACGTTTGAGTCATGGGGGGTTGATGAGGTGGGACATTAAAGACACCTGTTACCTGTGCTCATATCCCCCCCAGCATTACCTGACGTGTTTCAGCGGCACTGTGGCGGTGCCCTTTCTCCTCGCCGAGGCCATGTGTGTTGGTCAGGACCAGAACACCATCAGTCAACTGATAGGAACCATTTTCACCACTGTTGGAATCACAACCCTGATCCAGACCACCGTGGGAGTCAGGTGAGACTGGACCAGGTGAGACTGTAAGAGAAAGGTGAAAACATAAAGCAGGACACACTAAAATGTGTGTGTGTGTGTGTGTGTGTGTGTGTGTGTGTGTGTGTGTGTGTGTGTGTGTGTGTGTGTGTGTGTGTGTGTGTGTGTAAAGACTCCCACTGTTTCAAGCAAGTGCATTCGCCTTCCTAGTCCCTGCCCAGGCAATCCTCGGTCTGGACCGTTGGAAGTGTCCCAGTGAGGGTGAGACTTTCTGTTCGATGTTTATAATGATGATGATGATGATGATGATGATGATGATGAATAATGATGATGATGATGATGATGATGAAGAAGAATGATGATGATGATGATGATGATGATGAAGAATAATGATGATGATGATGATGATGATGAAGAAGAATGATGATGATGATGAAGAATGATGATGATGATGATGATGATGAAGATGATGATAAGTTGCATGGTCTGGTTGTCCCCGGCAACATTTTACTGCTGAAAAATAACACACTGATGCCGTGGGATTTGGACCAATCAGAATCAAGTTTGTTAGGCTTGAAGACGGTCTGGTCATGAGTGGGACGAACCCTCATGTTTTTTTTTTGTGTATTTCATTCTGACAAACTCGATGTGATTCATCTTTAACAGTCAGAGGTTTGTTCTTTTCTGCAGAGGAGATTTATGGGAACTGGAGTCTTCCACTGGACACATCACATGTCTGGCAGCCACGCATCAGAGAGGTTAACCAATCATTCATTCATTCATTCATTCATTCATTCATTCATTCATTCATTTTACAGTGACAGTTTTGTTTATCTGATAAAAGTCCTCTCCTGTAAATCTGGACTTTGATTTGCTGTTTCTGCAGAAGTTCATTCAAGTGTACGATGAGTATATTTATTTGACACTACAGCTGTGGAAGTATACTTGAAGTTGACTTTTTATAAACTAGATTTGGTGTAGGAGTGTAAACCATGTCTAAGTACATTAACACTAAGACTTTTATTATAATAATCAAATCAAGTCCAATTTTATTTCACTTTTCATGCTAATAAGAAAATGCAGCACAAAGTGCCGAACACCCCGTCAGTCATCTGAGAAGAACTCATAGTTTATTTCTTACACTCTGTTTTTGTAAATCACTTTATTTCTAATATTCTGCACTTTTACTTCCTGTTGCATTTTCTTCTATATTTTTATTCACTCCTTTTTCTATTTTCTTTCCACTAATATTTGGTTTTTCAAGTGTAAGACTGTGAGAACAGACTTCACCTCTCCTTCTGTATTAGACTCATCCCTGTGTATGTACTCACATACTGTGTGTGTGTGTGTGTGTGTGTGTGTGTGTGTGTGTGTGTGTGTGTGTGTGTGTGTGTGTCAGATCCAGGGGGCCATCATTGTGTCCAGTACGGTGGAGCTGGTCATCGGTATTTGTGGGTTGCCAGGTTTGTTGCTGGAGTTTATCGGTCCACTCACCATCACCCCGACGGTCTCTCTGATCGGACTCTCAGTCTTCACCACAGCCGGGGACCGAGCCGGGTCCCACTGGGGACTGTCTGCACTGTAAGGCCCCTGTCTCTCTGTAACTCCATGTTTGAAGACTTCGACTCATACCTGTCGGACTCACCTTTGTCTATTCTCAGGTGTATTCTGCTGATAGTGCTGTTTGCTCAGTACCTGAGGGCGACATCACTTCCTGTTCCTGTGTACAGCAAAGGAAAGGGACTGACCACCACTCGGGTCCAGATCTTCAAAATGTTTCCTGTAAATAAAACACACACACACACACACACACACACACACACACACACACACACACACACACACACACACACACACCAAGACAAATGATGACATCCTCCCTGATGCCACTGGTGGTGTCCAATGTTGTTATAGCAACAGACGAGTTCTTATATCAACTCAATTAAATATAAATGACTCTTTGAGCCCAAGATTCAAGTTTGCAGCAGACATGTCCGTGTTGTTGGGAGCTTCATCATGTAAAGATCAATATTTGAATATTCAGAAACAAGCCCGTAAGTCAAGCACCGCTGTCGGCACCCAGTCGCCTGATAAAAGAAGGAACTAAAGAGTTTGAATATCGTTGGTTTTCCAGGGCAGGTCAAGGATTCTCTGCCCTGATGCCACAAACTCACATGACAGGATGTGGTTCTCAGTATTTATAATCATGAAACCATTTCTCTGGCCTTTCTAATTACCCAAGAATCTCAAACACCACATCATCCATTCATGTCCATTTAGACCCTGATGGCAGGGTTTGGTTCTGTTTCCTGCTCAAAGACACTTGAGCTTGTTGGACCAATTTTCCAAATGAAGGACCGACCACGCTACCACAGAGTTTTGCTCACATGTAATGGCGGCCGCTATGATGTCAGGGGTCAGTATTTTATTTATATGTGTTTTCATTGCAGTATTTGTTACTCATTAGGTGAATTGGTTTGTGGGACAGCGCTGACTTTCCAGTCAGAACACAGACTGGTAGAACCTGTCAGGTTGTGGTTCTGGTGGTGGTGGTTGTTGGTCTGTGTTTGGTTCCTACACCCATCTAGATTCTTACAGGTTACTGATTGATCAGTTAGTTTGATTGGACGAGGATTGGTTGGTTAAATAGCCTCTTAGTTGGTCAGTCAAAGAAATGGTTTGATGGTTGAGTTGGCAGTTGGTTGGTAAGTTAATAAGTTTGTTGGTTGGATGGCTGATTGGTCAGTGGTTTGATTTGTTGGTTTGTTACTTCAAGACCTGGGCATGCTGGCTATGGATCATTGACTAGTCTTTGGTGTTAGATATCAGGTATCAGGGATATTTTGAAGGTTTCAGTTATCAGATATTAGGTGTCAGGTTAGGGTGATTTTACTTTCCTATTGTTCTTGGAACTTGAACATTACAGGAATAAGTAACCAACAGATCCTGTTTTTTCTTCAGATCATCCTCGCTATCATGCTTGTTTGGCTTGTCTGTTATGTGCTCACTCTGACTGATCTGTTGCCAAGCAACCCTGATCACTATGGACACAAAGCCAGGACAGATGCCCGCGGTGACATCATGACTTCATCACCGTGGTTCAGAGTTCCATACCCATGTAAGACCTCAACCAATCAATCAACCAACCGAACAATCAACTAACTAACCAACCAACCAACCAACCAATCAATCAATCAATCAATCAATCAATCAATCAATCAATCAATCAGTTGATCAACCAACTTACCAATCAACCAACCAACCGACCAAACCAAAAATTCATCAATCAATCAATCAATCAATCAATCAAATTCTCAGCACAGACTCAGCCCCAACAGTTTCTTGGGTGTTTTCAGAAGCAGCTGTTTCAGGAGGTTCACAGGTGAGCTCGGTTGGACAGGTGTCTAAGGGAAGGTCAGATGAAGGTCACTCAGAATAAAGATGATGATAATAATGCTGATCGTTGATTTTAATGGTGATAATGATAATGTCATAATGATATTTACAGTGGTGTTGATAATCCGCATCAGAATTACTTTAGTGATCCCAAACTGGGAAATTATGATGTTCCAGTAGAATTCTCCCAGTGAGCCAAAACAATATAAGAAGAGACAAGAAATGACCTTAATAACAAAAAAGAAAAGAATATAAAAGTTAAAGAAGTATTTTCATCACACATTTTCCTTAGACTTTTTTTTTTTACAGTAAATACAGAATATGAATAATTGGCCTTTTCACGCTGGAATGTGAAAAGAGCAATGATGCCAGTGAAAGTATAATGTATAAAGTAAAATGTAAGAGTATTTATAGGTATCTGAGCAGAGCAGAGGACATATATCATGATGAGGTGAGCTGTTGGACAGTTTTATGGCCTTTGGTAGGAAAGACTTCCTGTATCTGTCCTTGTGACATTGGAGAGCTGGATCAGTCTGTTTGAGAAGGTGCTTCCCTGTCTGTCCAGTAGGTGGTGCAGAGGGTGATCAGGGATATCCATAATGGATTTCAGGTTGTTCAGGGTCCTCCTCTCTAACACCATTACAGAAGAGTCCAGCTTGCAGCCTGTTACAGAGCAGACCCTCCTCATGAGCTGATCCAGGAGTTCGGTCTTCACCTGCAGCACTGAAAAGAGGACTCGCCACAAGAGACTGATAGAAGATCCTCAACATCTCGCTGCATATGTTGAAGGATCTCAGGTTCCAGTTCAGTTTGTTGTCCATGATGACACCTAGGTCCTTGCTGTCCTCCACCACAGATACATCCTCACCTAGAATACACAGTGGTGGTGGTGGCGCTGTTGTCTTCCTTCTGAATCACCGTCTCCCTGGTCTTGTCCATGTTCAGAATCAGGCGATTTCTTCCTGTCGATTTCACAAAGTTATCCACCAGCTCTCCGTAATACCCCTCTTGTCCACCACTCATACACCCCACCACAGCAAAGTCATCAGAGAACTTCTGGCTTGACCTGGAGTTGTACTGAAGGTCCAAGGTGTACAAGGTGAAGAGGAAAGGTGACAGTCCAGTTCCCTGTGGAGCTCCTGTACTACTCTATTCCAGGGTTAACACTGCCCAGTAAGACACACTGTGCTCTGTCTGTAGTCAAGTAGTTTGTAATCCAGGAGATGATGGATGAGTCCACACCCGTCAGCTGCAGCTTCACTTCCAGTAGAGGTGGCTGGATGGTGTTGAATGCACTGGAGAAATTGGAGAAGGTGATTCTCACGGTGCAGTCATGCCCAAGCAAGCAGGTAGATAATGGCATTGTCCACCCCCAGGTGTGGCTGGTAGGCAAATTGCAGAGGATCTAGGAATGTCTTCACCTGCGCCCTGGTGTGGGTCAAGACAAGCCTCTCTAACATCTTCATGACATGAGATGTGAGAGCAATTGGTCGATAGTCCTTTGGATCCGATGGCAACAACCTCTGAGGATCTGGAACCAAGCAGGAGGTGTTCCACAGCCCCGGTCTCCTCTTCTAGCTCAGACTCAGGTTGAACAGGATGATAATGATGATGATGATGATGATCATAACGATGATGGTGATATACAGTAGGTTGTTATAGAGATGATGTGATGATGGTGTTGGTAGTCATGATTGTGACACTGTAAATGATAATATGATAATGAATATAAAGACGATGATGATAATGAACGTGATGATGAAGATAGATGATGATGAGTGGGGTGTTAAAATGTGTTGCCTTTGAGTTACATTTGCACCTGTGTCCCTGGTAGGCCAGTGGGGGTTGCCAGTGGTAACAGTTGCTGGTGTGTTGGGAATGCTGAGTGCAACGATGGCGGGCATTGTGGAGTCCATCGGTGATTACTACGCCTGTGCTCGTCTGTCTGGAGCCCCTCCCCCTCCAGTTCATGCTATCAACAGGTGAGTCAGGAAGTGAAAAACAGGAAGCATGTTTTCTTACCTGATGAGCTCCGTATACTCAGGTGAGTACTGAATTTCTCTCTCTTATAGGGGGATCTTCACTGAAGGAGTCTGCTGTATCATTGCAGGACTCTTAGGGACTGGAAATGGCTCCACCTCCTCCAGTCCAAATATAGGTGTCCTGGGCATCACCAAGGTAAAGGAAGCCAAGCCGCACTTTTGACAGGATACTTTGTTGAAAACCTGATGGTCCTGAAAGAAAAGTAGTTTTCTGCTGCCTATGCCTGCCGATCACAGTCTTTGGATCATAAGGTCAACAAAGAAACCAGTTGCCCACTGCAGGCCCGCGATAAAAAGGTTAAAGACCCACTCCGATGAAAATGCTGTTTTTCTTGTTGTCTACATGTTCATAGATCCTTTTCCTGAAGCTACGGCACATATCAGGAGAAAACAAAGAACTTCTGCGTTCACATCGCTGTGAACCTCTCACAGACCAGAACGGCAGGTTCAGACCATAGACTGCATCCACCAGACAACTTGGCTCCGCCTTCTATCATTATACCAATTTGAAGCCGAATTGCTCTTGGGATTTCCGTGATTCCGTGGTTTTAGCTAAAAACTTCATAACAATTTAAAGACAACTGATAACACCGTAAATAATCTTAAAAAATACGATCGGAGTGGGACTTTAACGGCACTTCTTTTATAAATTTGATGAGAACGGCTAAAGGCACTTTACAAGACCAACTCGATCGTGTGTTTTTGGTCTGGATTAATACGTGGTTCAGGTCACTGAACTGTCTCAGCGGGTCCCAAAAGACCCCCTAAAAGACGTCATTTTAACAAAGTAAAGAATCTGAACCCCGGAGGACTGATCATCCCAAAACTTCAGAAACTGTCCCCATCTTTCCCCCGCCCTGCAGCTCTGCCATTGCTCACACTCTCTGACCAATCCATCAATCAATCAATCAATTTCATCTATAGATACCAAATCATTAAAGTTATGTTGTGACACTTTCTGGATGGGGCAGGTCGAGATTACAGACGAAGAAGCACTTGAGGTACGCTTGTGATTCCGATCTTTGGCAGCGTCAACATTTTTTACTGTTTTACAAACTTTATTTTACCTCCTATGTTTCAGGATCCTCTTCTTTCTAACCTGGTTTATGGTTTGCTGTATGAAGTCTTAGATTTCTCTTTTTTCTCTTTAGTTTTGTTTTTTTTTTTGTAACCCTGTTTTGAAAGTGTTCCATAAATCAAGTTTATCATCATTATTTTGACTTTAACCTCCTTATGTAGTTCTTAGACCGATAAAAATTGGATCTACGAGTCCTAGACCTCTTGAGTTGAGTCTGGATCTGGTCTCAGACCTTGGCTCCAATTTGCTGGTTGGTGTTGGATACAAGTCAACATGCCTCTAAAGTTGAACCCTGATCCAGCTCTCTTGAAGGACCCTGACCCCTCACTCCTGATGCCCCGTCTGAACCCTCTTGGCTTTCATTTCATTCGTGAGGGAAACTTTAAAATGGGTGTTTGATTTGTTTACCCTTCATGCAGGTGGGCAGCAGACGGGTGGTGCAGTATGGAGCAGGCATCATGTTCCTGTTGGGATCAGTTGGAAAGTTCACGGCCTTATTTGCCTCACTGCCGGACCCCATCCTCGGAGGAATGTTCTGCACACTGTTTGGTGAGTCGAAGCTAAAGGTCAAGCATATCAGTCCAGGTGAGTCCAGGTGAGTCCAGGATGTCATCATAGATGTTTGTAAGTTCAACCAGGTAAAGTGGAGACGATCACGTCTGTGTGTGAATAATCGTACAGGTGTGTTTATGACATCAAAATGATACAGGTGTGTGTGTGTGTGTGTTTCAGGTATGATCACCGCCGTTGGTCTCTCGAACCTGCAGTTGGTGGATTTGAACTCATCCAGGAACCTTTTCGTTCTCGGGTTCTCGATGTTCTTTGGCCTCACTTTGCCCGCGTACCTGGATGCCCATCCCAAATCGATCAGTACAGGTGAGAGGATGTTTCTGTGAACGTACCTGGAGTTCAGGTGTCTGTCAGGATTCTTTCTCCTGACCCTGCGTCTCTGTGCGTTGTCTTTGGAGCGTCTGTGCTTCTCCATTAGTTAATTAGCTTTGTGTCTTCCTGTCCTGTTGTCCTCGTGGTGGTGACGCAGGCTAATGGTGGAAATGAAGCTAACTAAACACTGACCGGCGCCCCCTCATGGTGCATTGTTTGCAGTTGTAGCATAAGCTGATGTGTTTTCTGTGAGGTCTACTAAGGTCAAAACGGTGTCCCCTAATCTCATGTTGGGCACAGCGACCCTGTTCAAGTCTTGGTTCTGTTCTGGATCCTAGCTGTCCAAGTTCCAGGTGAGGTCCACTTGTGGTGTGGCCAGACTCTTGGTCTTTGTCTTTAGAGGGGTACTGGTCCTACAGTCTCACAGTCCTCTACATCCATATTTTGGATGGTCTCCTTTTGGTCAGCCTAGAAGCTGCTGGCTGGTCTAAGGAACCCCTTAGTTCATGGTCTCGGTCGGGCCGGTACCCCTGATCCGGTTCCCCTGATCCGGTATCCCTGATCTTGGATTTCTTCACAGCTCAGTCTGTGGTTACCAAGGGTTACTTGGTTTTTCTAAGTAAAGATACTGAACCTCTGGTCCGTGACCCGCTCAGCCTCTGATCCGTCCATCTCTGCACACCTGCACAGGTGCGTCACGGCTGTCTCATGTGTTCACAGGTGTGGCCGAGCTGGATCAGATCCTGACGGTTCTTCTTTCCACTGAGATGTTTGTTGGAGGATTTTTGGCTTTTTGTCTGGACAACACAATACCAGGTCAGATACACACACACACACACACACAAACACACACACACAAACACACACACACACAGTATCAAACACACAAACACACACACACACACACACACACACACTCACACACACACACACACAGTATCAAACACACACACACACACACACACACACACACACACACACACACACACACACACACACACACACACACACACACACACACACACACACACACACACACACACACACACACACACACACACACACACACACACACACACACACACACACACACACACATCTGTTGTGTCATAGAGAAGTTCATTGTTGTCATAGTGTTTGTGTGTGTGTGTGTGTGTGTGTGTGTGTGTGTGTGTGTGTGTGTGTGTGTGTGTGTGTGTGTGTGTGTGTGTGTGTGTGTGTGTTTTTGTCTTCAGGGACCAGACAGGAGCGAGGTCTGGTGGAGTGGCGCTCCTCGTCCTCCTCGTCCTCCTCATCATCCTACGACCTTCCTGTTGGGATGGGTTTGGTGCGGCGGACTCGCTGGCTCCGGCGGTTTCCCATCAGCCCTTCCTTCACAGGTTTCCGAGCGACAAAGGAGGAAGAGCAGAGGGAGGAGGAGGGGGAGGGGGAGGAGGGCGAGAAGGTTGATGACATCATTCAGTCCAGCACTAAGGTATGATGTCATCAGAGGTCGTGGCGAGGTTTGATCTCCGATGTGTTGAGGGCCTGATGGTGCGTTCACTGACCCTCAGAAAAAAGAGGCTGCTGTCTAAAGTGAACGTTTACAAGAACATAAATAAGATGTAAATATTGACCCGTTATTATTTATTGATATGATGAATCTGATGTCAATCAACATTAATGATGAAGAAAAAAAAACAATTCTGTATCTTAAACCGTAGACTGTTTCTAAGATGGACGCCGTCTGCCTCCTCTCTGAGAACAGCGCCCTCTGGTGACAGGCTGCAGTATAGGTCCTAAACCCCGCCTCCTTATGGAGCTGTGGACAAACTTTATAAATGAATGACACAGAATATAAATGTTTCTCCCCCCTGGTTGTGATGTTGACATGTAGTTACTGTCAGACTGGTTTGTGCTCAAGTCCTCTTTTTTCTGTACAGCTCCATTTTTAAAAGTTATTAGGGGGTTCATGTTTGCTATGATTGACACCTGATACAGCCAATGGGAGGACAGAGATTGTGTAGATCACCGGGGGATACGCTGTTTGAGCCGAGTGTCATCACAGCGACTCTTGGCGACTCTCCTAACCCTTAAAAACACTACTGAACAGTGTTGGTTTCAGGAAGTGGAGAAAATCCTGGAAATAACGAGAGAAATTTGGCTTCAAATTCGTACAGTGATGGGAGGCGGAGCCAAGTCGTCCATATATAGACAGTCTTTGGTTCAAACACTAAACTGCTGCCTGATCAGAATTTTCACCGGAGACCAAAAGAAAGAGCTTTAATGCTGATGCGGCGTTTCACCTGGAGACCTTCAATCATTTTTGGTCACATGGTCACATGATTAACTGGATTTATTTGAATTCTTCCTGAAGATGGAGGTTTATTGTCGTTCTCTGGGTTCGGCCCCTCTCCAGTGAAATGATCACAGCTGTCACTCAGTTGTATTTCCACCCAGAGCAACTAAATCGAGCAGTTTTCTCACTGTCACCATGGAAACCTGATGGTATTTCAGCCATAAATCAGACTAACTGCTGAAAATTGCCACACGTTTATGAACTCAGGAAACAAAGGAGGGTTTATTTTGTTTTTTTATTTCTAATGTCAAAAATAAAACAGTTCTACTTGTAACATAAAAAAATTAATAAAACAGAAAAAAAACAAAGTGTTTTTATTTCTTAAGTGCAAAAACTTTGTGACGAAAAAAAAGTGCCAAAAAATGATGTGAAGTTTCCCTAAGCTTGGTTTGGTTCCATGAACTTTGGTTAACTTAAATTTAGTGAACTTCAGTTTAGTTCGGTTAACAAGTTTAGTTGATTCAGAATCAGAAAAAGACACATACGAGGAATTAGAGTCCGATAAACTTTGTTCACATATTTATTCTGACTTTAGGTGACCAAGTTAATTTTAGTTAAAAGCAGTTAACTTGATTTAACTGAACTTTAGTTAACTTAGGTTAAGTTGAGTTCCATTAAGAAAATCAAGTCTGGTTTGATCAGTTTAATAAATTCGAATTATCAGATTTAATTTTTAGAGTTTCGGGTCTTTTAGTGGAAATATTGACTGAACTCGCTCATCATTACCATCCTGGTTTTTATTGTTTGGGTTTTTTAACACCAAGAAAAAATATATTTTTTTAGGAGTTTGGTGACAAAAGTGTGAAAATTCAACAAAAACGTGAGCCGGTGTTAGCATTTACAAACAGACTTTAATCCGTGTGTGTTTTCAGTTTCTGTCCCATAAATTGTAAAGTTAATAAAAACCTGAATTCAAGTTCTGCTCGGTGCTTCCATGTATTTGGTGAAGTTAGCGTCACTTAAGCTCAGCTGGTGGGTTAGGGTCAGGGGCGTTTTCCTGTTTTACGGCTGTTCTGCTGTTTTTTATAAAGTGATGAAAATGTCCCGGTTTCCACTCATTGGTCCGTCAGGATGGAGAAAAACTGAAGATTTTTTCTTAGTTCTTGTACGTTTGTGAGAGTTGCTGATATAGCAGAGGTATTTTTGAGTTCTGCATTTATCCTGTTAGATACATAATTTCTACATTTATTTCATTTATTATTTTTTAAAACTTAAATAAACTGAGAAGTCCATCTGAATTTGTGTCTTCTGTTATAGATATTATATTAAAATGTTCTATCATACAGAGGGGGCGTACTTTAAATGCATTAAAACCTTTTTTTATTAATTATAATCTTTGAGTTTCACATCGCTGGTCCTGGTTGTGTCCGGGTTTCAGGTCGTCAAAATCTGGTCACCCTTGTACGAGTTAGCATCTACGAGAACCGCCACATTCGCCCGTGTATCACTGAAATATCATACTGGTCTATTAGCATCAGGCTAGCTGTGACAACGTGTAAACAAAGAAGTGTCTGTGATGTCATCAGACATGTGACTGTGATGACATCATGGCGAGTTCATCGATGGCATGTGAAGGTGGACGGGGGGGCGGGAACATGAGGACACAGCTACTGTCGGCTGTAACTGCATCACTGACACAACAGTGGGGGCGGAGTTTAATGCAGAATGGGCGGGGTTAACAAGAATGGGGGTGGGGTTTGCACTGTGCACAGGGAATATGCTGGAGATGGGGGCGGAGCTTGCTGCAGGAAGGAGGACATGGACATACTGACCGGTCTCTGGATCCAACAGCATCTTTCTCTGAGCTGTAGGGGGCGGGTCCACATAGAAGCACCGCCCAGATCTAGGGTCAAACAAAATGTTACAGGGGGCGGGGCCACTGAGGAGCGCCCCTGCGGTTGTAGACCCTGTGACATCAACAACAAAGTCCCCTCCCACCTGAGCAGGTAAGAGTCCCTGAAGGCTGTAGAAATACTGCGGTTGCTGGAGTTGCTGTCTCTGAAGTTGCTGTCTCTGGTGTTGCTGTTGCCCGTGTTGCTCCTGTTGTTCCTGGTCTGCAGCGGTCACCACGCTGCCCCCCCTTACCTCTGAGGTCCAGGTGTGCTCAGGTATGCTGAGGTGGTCTGAGGTGGTGTCAGGTAAGCTGGTCTCCTCAGTTCTCAGACCCAGCTGGTGTGAGGGATGCTGCAAGGGAGTCTGGGTAAGGCTCAGGCGGGGGTTCAAGTAGCTGACCTTCCCCAGGTGTGGGTACAAGAGGGGTGGGTACACAGGTAGGAGGGGGGCTGGGTAGAAACAGGGTTTAAAGATCTGCTGGGTGGACTGGGGGACAAACTGGGAGGACAGGTCTAAGATGGAGGCCTGGTCCTGGGCAGAGGGGGGGGTTTGGGGCAGGATGGGGGCGGGGCCAGGAAAAGAGAATGGAGGGGGAGGAGCTTCTGTGTGATGGCGCCCAACCTCGGCCTTCCCTGATTGGCTGAGCTCTGTTGGTCCACTCCTGATTGGTGGGTTGGTGGGAGGGGCTAATCTAGTGACATCATTTTTCCAGCTCCTGCTGATGATTGGCTCGCTGCCTCGTCTCTGTTGTGTGATTGGATGACTACATACTTCACTCTGATTCCTGTTCTGTGATTGGCTGAGGGAAGCAGCAACTTTGGCCACATGACCTCTGCAGGACATGCTGCCTCTCTTTGTATCACTGTGACCTTTGACCCCCACTGCCTGCTGGTAAGTGGGTGGGGGGCTCTCCTCCTGACCAATCACCTTGAAGCTTGTTGGTTTGTTGCCCCCAGGTGTGCCGAAGGTCAGGTTGTAGGGGTCTTTGACCAGTTTCCTCATGTCTCGGACCACGTGGACCGGACCTTTAGACACGCCTCCATCCTTCTTACCTCCTGCTTCCCCCACCCCCTCCTGCTCCACAGAGCAAGGGATTGTGGGTAATTTTGCAGGTTTCTTCGGACAGGTGTTTTTCTCCACCTGCATCTTCTTGGACAGGATGCTCTTGATGATGCAGGTCGCCATCTTGGTTTTAGTTTCATCCAATGAGAAGGACTTCTGCAGACGCTGCCTTGAGGTCCCCCCGACGTCCAGCCCTGCAGGTAGACCAGGTAAGGACACACCTGTTCAGACTGTAGACAGGAAGTGGTCATACCTGTCACCTGTCCATCAAAAGTCAAAGGTGAGCTCTTCCACAGGTGTTCTTACCTTGGACCCCTGCCACGAGGCCCTTGTAGACCCCATAGCTGATGACATCGCTGCTGGTCGTGTGGAGGGAGGCGGGTAAACTGTGCTGGCGTCTTAACAAGTCAGGACCATGATGCACCTCACTGATAGCCCCGCCTCC